AGTCTGGCGTGCATGACCCCAATTTTCGGGTTCATGTCGTCCCCGACGCTCTTACGCAGTAGTCAAACTTCAGAGGGCTGCTTAAGGGCACGGGAACCCAAAATTAGGGTTTAGGTGTTTTTTGCGGTTTAGGGTTTAGCCCTCTACAACTAGGGTCTATGCTGGCGCAAGTTTAGTATTCGAAAAAAGAGATCAAAGTCCTGACCTCGCCAGTCACGGTATTTAACCTGAAACCACTCTCAGCGAGTCCATTTGTGGTACTGGTACTGTGATGGAATTAGGTACCCACCAAAAACCATACTAAATGAGGCTTGGGGTACCCATAATCCCATCCTGGTACTACAACTGGACCCCCTCAGCCAACTTTAGAAAACGTTCCTGCGACACAAACTCCCGTCAATGCTGGTCTTTCCGGGATTGTTCAGTAGCCCTGTGAACAAAGTATTTGGAGCCAGGCAACACACAAGCCTTAACAAAAAGACATACTGCTGAGCAGCCTCACAAAGGGGAGGGATCGTGGCTCGATTGAAGCTTCTAGCCGAGGCACAGTCAAGATGTACTCCCCATTCTGCGAAATCTCGAACTTGGTTGGATTCTTCCCGCGAACTGTCCACGTCCCAAACGGAAACCTGCGCTGCGGTGTCAGAAGGTCTTGAATAGAATTGTAGCTGTTGTTGTGTGAGGAAAAGGCAAGACACCCGCAAAACCCAAGCCCTAAACCCCAAACTCTAAACCCTAAACCCCGGATAAAACTCTACAGCCCAGGCCCTCAAAACCCTTTTAGCAACCTTGGGCCTTTGGTCGAATTTTCAACCCCCCGGCCCAAGGAACCGCCTACTCCCCGTCACCATCCCCATGCCCGCCCCCTAAACCTCTAATAGGCCTCCAGACCCTGAACCCAAAGCCCTAAACCTGTGTTCGCCCCATGATGACCCCAAACCCCAAACCCTAAACCCCAACACCTAAAACCTAAACCCTACACCCTAAACCCTAAACCCTAAACAACCCTAAGCCCTAACCCCTTCCACCTGCAGAGTCTCAGCTTGATCCGGCTCAAGCAGCCGTCCACTCCCGAAGCCATGGCTTGCCCAGAGTCTCGCGATGCTGTCGGCCAGGACCACAGGCCACGCTTGGGGTTTAGGGTTTAATTAGAGTTTAGGGTTTAGGGTTTAGGGTTTAGGGTTTAGGGTTTGGGGGTGTAGGGTTTAGTTAAGAAAGTTAGATCTTTTACAGGGATAAAGGGATGTCTGGTGTGAGGGCGTTGATTGAGGTGCTAGGGCTTGGGTTTTGTAGGGTATAGGGTTTAGGGTTTAGGGTTTAGGGTTTAGGGTTTAGGGTTATAGGGTTTAGGGGGGTGACAGGGTTAAGGGCTGATAAGGGTTACGGGTTTAGGGTTTCGGGCTTGGAAAGGTTGAAGGTATATATGGCTGCCACCACTTCGAGCAGGAGAACAATGAGTTAGCATGACGCAACTTTTGAACGCTAGAAGCCGAACATTGCGCGAAAGCCCTGAGACCGCAAAACCCCGAAATCCAAACAACCCTCAACTTTAAGGAGTTGCAGAGTTGACGGGGGGTTGGGTGGGGGGGGGGGGGGGGGGTGTGCTAAGCCCTGCGCACAATAAGACTCATAAACCGTTAGGGTTTAGTGGGTTTAGGGTTACCCGAAACCCTACAAACCAAAGGCCTTGAGGGATTGACCATAGTCTGCGACGTGAACTTCGTATCTTGGCCTGTCGCCCAAGTCCCTATAGGCGCCACGCCTTCTATAAGGGCACGCATGCATTAACCCAAAACCCTTAGCCCAAATCGCAAATCCTAAACCCCAAACCCTGAATCCAGAAGCAGGAGGGGTACCCTAAACCCTAAACCCTAAACCCTAAGCCCTAAGCCCTAAACCCTAAACCCTAAACCCACCTGCAGGTCCTTTTGTCTGCACATGCACAATGCGCACGGGGAGATGGAGAGGCGGTGCTTCTTGCGCTCCCTCTTCCGGAGCGGGAGGGTCCAGGATGGGAGGCTGTGAGGGCTTCATTTCATCCCTGCAACGCCCGACAAAGCCACAAACCGTTCAACCCTTATAAGCCCTAAGCCCCTAAAACCCTCAAACCCGAAACCCCTAATTGAAGCCTTGTGAAACCCAAACCCCTAAAACCCGTGAACCCTCACAAACCCTAAAACCCCTAAACCCCATAAACCCCGAAAACCCTCAAACCCTTGTAAACCCCAAAACCCCAGAAACCCCTAAAACGTAAAACCAAAAAAACCTTGTAAACCCTAAACCCCTAAGCCCCATACACCCCAAGGACATCCCCAAGAACCCTACAATTCCCCAGCCCGGAACCCTCCGAAGCCCCTAAACCCTAAACCCTATAAACCTAACCCTAAACCCTATAACCCTAACACTTCCGCCTGGCACGACAAAGGTCCTTGAGGGCCGGGGCAGACAGTTGTTGGGTTTAGGTTTAAAGGTCCAAAGCCCTGAACCCTGAAAAAAGTCTAAGTCTCATTCAGTGGGTTCTTCTTGCCGTCTGCAACCCTGCGCGTCACACACCTCGAGGTGAGACGGCTGAAAATGGCAATAGCGGCACCCCAGGCAAAAGCTCCAAAACCTGAAAAACTCAGACACAAATCAAAACCTTTTAATCCCAAACCCTGAATGTCAAACCCTCTTAGCCCCAAGCTAGCACCCTATAAGAGCCCTTGCCGCTATTCACCATGCAAAGAGAGAAGGTCACAGGAGGCCGCTACTCGTTGTGAAGGCCTGGAGTTGTGAGTGAGGATTGGCACGAAACTCATGTTCCTGGCGTTTAGGGTCGAGACTTTGGTATCTGGGGGGGGGGGGGGGGGAAGGGGGTGGGTTAAGATACTTGTTGTTCAGGTTTGTTTCGGGAAGCTTTGCTATTGATGTTTGTGACGGTTCAACATCTAAGCTTTCGGGATCAGGAAATGCCGGGCTCGTGGAATAGGCCTCCTGTGATAGCAAATTGACATCTCTGCTCGCAAGCCGGCCGTTTCGATCGAGGAGTCTCAGCAGCCTGAGAGGGGTTTAGGGGTTTAGGGTTCAGGGTTTAGGGTTTAGGGTGGCCTGAGAGAGTCGAATGCTCGTCGCAACAGCTCCCTGGCCGATTAGATGAAACACCCGAAGCCCTAAATAAACCCTAAACCCTGAATAAGCCCTAAACAAACCCTAAATAAACCCTAAATAAACCCTAAATAAAACCTAAAAAAACCCTAAACCCTGAATAAGCCCTAAATGAACCCTAAATAAACCCAAATAAGCCCTAAGTAAGCCCTAGACAAACCCCAAATTAGCCCTAAATCCTAAACCATAAGCCCAGCGAGTGACTACAAGCAGCCATTCAGGGAATGACTCTGCTGCGAAACAGAGCTAAAGTTCCATGTACCTACACAGCACACATATACATATAGGCCCTCAGAAGTCACTATGTAGTAAGCCCTAGACCCTAAACCCTATAGAATCGGAATATATATATATATATATGTATATACATATATATATATATATATTTGTTTATAGGCCCTGAGAAGTCACAAGATGGTAAAACCCAAACCCTAAACCCTAGCCCTAAAGGCTAAACCCTGAACCCTATAAAGGAACTCCTTTGCAGCAAGTCGCGACTATACAGGTGCACGTGCCCTTACGGGTTGGGGGTTTCCAGGTTTCGGGACCGCGTCGCCACATCCTGCAAAATAAGCACCAAATCACGAGCATGACAGGACTCTTATCGGATTCATCTTCTAGGGTTTTTCTGGGTAGCCAAAACAGGTCAAATGCAAGGAGCTTGGATGATTAAGCCCTGAAACATTGTGGATAAACCCCGACAACGGCAGACCCGCAAACCCCGTAGATGGGCTGCCGGCCACGTGCTTCAGTGAAGATAAGCCCTGAGGCTGCAACGCCTGCGTGCTACGCCGGATGGGGCTACGCCGTTGCAAGCTTCAGGGTGAAAGAGCTTAGCCTTGCAGCTGAAAAGAAGACTTGGGGCCCTAAACCCTAAACCCTAATCCCTAAACCCTAAACCCACCCTCAACCCTAAACCCTAAACCCTAAACCCTAAAGGGTTTAAGGTCTCAGGGTTTGCAGAACTTGGGGGTGTAGGGTTTGGCATGCGACTGAAGGGTTTTCAGATTGTGTTTCGGGTTTAAGGTGTCCTGGTTCCATTAGTTTAGGGTTTAGGGTTTAGGGTTTAGGGTTTAGGGTTTAGGGTTTAGGGTTTAGGGTTTAGGGTTTAGGGTTTAGGGTTTAGGGTTTAGGGTTTAGGGTTTAGGGTTTAGGACCCTCTCACTGGTGCCTAGTTTGTATAAACGGTGTCAGGGTCTGGGTTTAGGGTGTTGGTGTAGAAGCATCACTGCAATACGCATGGTCATCACTGAGACTGGTGACTAGATGGCGTCTGGACTTGTGATCCTGCAATGATCCATATACTGAAATTAGACAGGATGCTGAACCCTAAGACCCCATAAGCTGTACACCCCAAATCGAGCAGCACCCAGCATCCAAATTCCCTTTAAAGAACCAGCAACCTCAAACCCCGAAATCCTGAAGCCCCCAAAACTTCAGGTTTAGGGTTCCCAAACCCTAAACCCTGAATCCCACACCCCATTGCCCAAACCCTAAACCCTAAACCCTGAGACCCTAAGCCCCTAAACTTTGGCCAATTTGATCTCCGAGGATGACAGCACTCTCCCCCTCCGCCCCTTTAGGGTTTAGGGTCTAGCCTGGCCCCCGCCACCCCCCCGCCCCCAGGTTTTCGCTCCCAGGCACGAAGTCCAAGAGGCTTTCCAGGCTTGTATGGCAGCCCCAGGGTTTTTTGAAGAGTTTAGGGTTTGGTTTGAAGGGTTTAGGGTTCATAGGGTTTATGGGGTTTATGGGGTTTTAGGGTTTAGAGCTAGATTGATTCAAGGGTTTCTAGGGTTCAGGGTTTTAGGGTACAGGCTGTGTGCTTCAGGTTTAGGTTCTACCTGCCGGGCTTAGGGCTAGTAGCCACAAGCTACAGGACAAGTGTAGCACCAATAATAGATGGAAATGAAGCAGGCCACCCAGGCCAGAAACTTACTCAGCGCTTTGGAGTGCAGGCCAGGTATGAGCGTGGCGGTCTGCGCCGCGTAGGCTGGAAACTCCTCGGGATAGCGCTGCGCCAGGTAGCTGTCGGAGTTGGGCATAATCACGAAGACAAAGGTGAAGATCATGAAGATGGGGATGCTCACCGCGCAGGTGGTGCCAGAGGCCAGCCCCCAGCCGGTGTAGGCAAAGAGGTCCCCGAAGTAGTTGGGATGAATGCTCCAAGCAGCCAGGCCCTCTTTGTGAAGCTTCCCTTTGTGTTCTGGCCGGGCCTTCCAGCGGAAACGGCCCACTTCATAGGCCAGGGAATACAAGGATCCTCCCACATATAGACCCAGCCCCACCTGATCTCTGCCTGGGAAGCGGATGTCTGGATTCATCGTACAGACGCCAAACATGTAGGCGAGCGTTGGCAAGCCGATCACGTAAATGACGAAGAGCAGGCCAAAGCTGGCAGGGCAGAACCAAGTAGGCGTCTCTTGCCCCCAAATCGTGACAAGCACCTTGGGGACGAAAGATGAACCCTAAAAGGGTTTATGGTTCATACAACCTTAATGGGAATGATAGTAGTACTAGGGGAATATGACCCCAATCCTGGAGTTCATAGATATGAACCCTACAAGGGCTTATGGTTCATACAGCCTTAATGGGAATGATCGTAGTCTAGGGCCAATTTCAGGGTTCATAATTCCCTAAGGGTCCACGTACCTAAGTAGAGAATACTTGGGCCTTAAAGTACCTCCTACTTCGGGACGTTGGGGCCCAAGATTTGGTCCTAAACCCTAAACCCCAAACCCTAAACCCTAAACCCTAGGTCCTTATAAGGAGGCACCTTGCTTGTGAAGAGGCCCCCGATGACGTGCAAGCTGAAGGTGTTGGCATACCAAAAGTAGGCAGCCATCCTCGAGCACCAGATGAACCCTAAAATGGTTTGGGGTTTAGGGTTTAGGCCCGTAGGGTGTAGGGTTTAGGGTTTAGGGTTTAGGGTTTTAGGGACCCCATATTGCGAGACCCCCTATGGCTAAAACCGCTCTTGAGGTATACGAACCATAAGCACTTTTAGGGTTCATGTCGTCCCCAAGGATCTCAGTCACAAGTAGCACAGAGCAAGCGCATTTCCATGGTAAGCGGCTGCCTCGAGTGCCGTCACCCCTCCACTGGATCCATTTCCTGAGTTCTGGTAGGGAATCCGTCATATACGTTACCATAGTACATCCATAATACTGTAGGGTTATATCACTAAGGGAAGCTACACAGTGCCCCTATGGTGGCTTCAGAAAACTCACTCAGATCATCTCAGATCCTTGTAACTTAACGAGGGCCCAGCTTCGTAAAGTCCCCCTTGCAGCCGCAGCAGTTGGGCGCATCACCGAGTAGGGGCGCCTCCGAGGCCATCCGGCCGAGTGGCTGCAAGTCAGCGGCTCAGCGCGGTTTGCGTTGTTGTGCCCTTTGGCATTGTGAGATGACGGTTGCATGCAGCAATTGCGCAACAACTCGCAAGGGCTGAAAGCAGGCAGGACACACAGGGGTCAACCCAAAACTCGCAGTTTAGATATATATATATATATATAGTATATATATATAATATAATATATATATATATATATATGGTAGTTGCAGAAGCTCTCAAGTTGGAAGGAGAAGCACCAGAGTGATCGCGAGCCGGTTCCCATGAAGCTTATACTCATGCATGATGTCAGGCTAAGGAAGAAGAAGAATAATAAGAAGAAGAAGAATAAGAAGAAGAAGAATAAGAAGAAGAATAAGAAGAAGAATAATAAGAAGAAGAATAAGAAGAGGAAGAAGAAGAAGAAAGTTCTCAAATACAAAGGCAGCTTTCTATGAAAGGGGTGACGTTGAAAAAAACGCACCCATAAGGCAACCTAGCTTGTTGAGAACCACTCCCACATGGCGCAACAGATGTAGGGTTTAGGGTTTAGGGTTTAGGGTTTAGGGTTTAGGGTTTAGGGTTTAGGGTTTAGGATGTTGAGCACTTAAGTAAGCACCTAAACCTAACACTAAACCTTCAGCTAGAGGGTAAGGGATGAAACCCTAAACCCTAAACCCTAAACCCTAAACCCTAAACCCTAAACCCTAAACCCTAAACCCTAAACCCTAAACCCAAACCCCAAACCCTAAACCCGAAACAAGCGGCCTGGCCTTCACAGTAGCTAGTTGATCTTCGCATGGCACTGCGCCGTGTGCAGGGCAGCCTGTGTGGAGCCCGAAAGCCCAGGGCCCTGGGCACGCTTAGTACAAGGAGGGGCCCCTTTACTATACTAACTATAATTAATAAGGGACTGATAACCTAATTTAGGCTCCTTATAACCCAATTTAGGGCTCTTATAACTCTACGTAGAACTAGGGGGGGCCCCTCCTTGCAGGGTTGAGGGCTTAGGCCTTCATCCCGGCACGGGCGTATAACCACGTGACATGCGCGACTTATCAGCCTTCTTAGGGTTTAGGGTTTAGGGTTTAGGGTTTAGGGTTTTAGGGATAAACCTTCAAGTAGAAAGAAAAATCAGATTCGCTGCCAAGCTCAGTCAGGCACAAAGGTGCAAAGCCGGAAGGGTGCTTCACATCTCGCCTCTTTCCAATGTGCCCCAAAACCGTAAGCCCTAACCCTAAACCCTAGCCCTAAACCCTAAACCCTAAACCCTAAACCCTAAACCCTAAACCCTAAACCCTAAGCCCCCCGACCCTACACCCTAACCCCCCCCCCCCGACCCTAAATCCTAAACCCTAAGCCGCATAGGCACTCCCAGACGCATCAGCTAGCTGGCCTCCTAAATCCCAAGGCCCGAGCTCTGGACCCTAAACACTAAGCCCTAAACAGTCAGCCCTTGTTTCCTAAACCCTCAGCCCTAAACCCTAAGACCTAGACCCCAAGACGCAGCACATTAAGTCCCCTCGCTCGCCTCTAGGTTCGGGGACCGCAGTCACACTCATCTTCGCAAAACCCCTAAACCCTAAACCCTATACCCTAAACAGTCACCAAATCACGAGCATAACAGGACACCTATCGGATTTGTCTTCCGGGGGTTTTGGGGTAGCCAAAAACACCTCAGATATAAGGAGCCGGAAGGATGAAAAAAACATTGTGGATACACCCCGAAAACGGCAAGACCCCCTAAACCCCGTAGATGGGCTGCCGGCCGTGCGATTCAGTGAAGATAAGCCTACGAGGCTGCCACGCCTGCGCGAAGCCGGATGGGGCTACGCCGTCGCAAGCTTCAGGGTAGAAGATCTTGCAGTTCACATCAGGCTTGTGGCTGAGGTTGGGATGTTCCCCCCTATACTAACAGTCCTTCATGGGATGATAGTAGGGGGGGTTCTATAATCCCGATTGAGGACTGCTAGTATAAGGGGGAGCATGCCAAGGTTTAGGGTTTAAGGTCTTCGGGTTTGCACAACTTAGGGGGGCAGGATGGGCATTTGCGACTGAAGGTTTCAGATTGTGTTTGGGGTTTAAGGTGTCCCTCTTCCATTGTCCCATTACTAGTGGGGAAGAACCCTCAAACACGATGCTGAACCCTAAAACCCCCTCAGCTGTACGCTCCAAACCGAGCAGCACACAACGCAACATCCAATCCCACACTTTGCGTAATTAGCACCAAGCTCGTCAACAAGGATGCCTAGATACTCCCTTAAAGGGTTGCAAGGGGGATTTAAAAAACAAAAAAAACCTGGAACCCGATTTCCTGATCCCCCCAAACCACAAACCACAAACCCTAAACCCTAAATCCCAAACCCTTAACCCGAAACCCTAAACCCTATACCCTGAATCCCAAGCCCTAAGCCCCAAACCCCATACCCTGAATCCCAAGCCCTAAAAACTCTGGCCAGTTTGATCTCCAAGGCTGACAGCACTCCACCCCACCACCCCTTTAGGGTTTAGGGTTTCGGGTCCCCTAAACCCTAAACCCTAAACCCTAAACCCTAAACTCCGCCCCATTTTCCCTTCCAGGCACAAGCGTGTGTTTTAGGTTTAGGTTCTGATTGTAGGGCTTATAGGGCTAGTAGCCACAAGCTACAGGACAAGTGTAGCACCAACAGTACACAGAAATGACGCAGGCCACCCAGGCCAGAAACTTACTTAGCGCTTTGGAGCGCAGGCCAGGTATGAGCGTGGCGGTCTGGGCCGCATAGGCTGGAAACCTTGGTAGCCCAATATAAGGGTTTAGGGTTCAGGGTTCAGGGTTCAGGGTTCAGGGTTAAGTTTAGGGTTTAGGGTTTAGGGTTCAGGGTTTAGGGTTTAGGATTTAGGGTTTAGGGGAACTTGGTAGCCCAGTAACTCTATTGTAATAAGGACACCCTTTTTTGGTTGGTTCCTGTATAAGGGAACCCAGAACCCAAAATTATGAAAAGCAAAGGGTACCACTAGGCTACCAAGAAACTCCTCGGGATAGCGCTGCGCCAGGTAGTTGTCGGAGTTGGGCACGATCCTTAGTAGCCCAGCAACCATCTTACAATAAGGGCACACCCTTGTTGGGGGTTGTTCACTTTAGAAGGGAACCGTGAACCAAAAAAAGGGAATCTTATAATAAGGGCACCCTTTTCGGGGTTGTTTACTTTATAAGGGAACCTTGAACCAAAAAAAGGGAAGAGGGTGCCACTGGGCTACCAAGAATCACGAAGACAAAGGTGAAGATCGTGAAGATCGGGACGCTCACCGCGCAGGTGGTGCCCGCGGCCAAGCCCCAGCCGGTGTAGGCAAAGAGGTCCCCAAAGTAGTTGGGATGAATGCACCAAGCAGCAAGGCCCTCTGTGTGAAGCTTCCCCTTGTGTTCTGGCTGGGACTTCCAGCGGAAACGGCCCACTTCATAGGCCAGTGAATACAAGGATCCTCCCACATACAGAACCAGCCCAAGCTGATCTCTGCCTGGGAAGCGGATGTCGGGATTCATCGTACAGAAGCCAAACATGTAGGTGATCGTTGGCAAGCCGATCACATAAATGACGAAGAGCAGCCCTAAGCTGGCAGGGCACAACCAAGTAGGCGTCTCCTGCCCCCAAATCTCAACCAGCGCCTTGGGGACGAAATGAACCCCAAAAGGGGTTTATGGTTCATGGTTCATATACCTTAATGGGAATTAAAGTAGTCAGGGAAATATGGGGTTCATTTGGTCCTAAACCCTAAACCCTAAACCCTAAACCCTAAACCCTAGGTCCTTATAAGGAGGCACCTTGCTTGTGAAGAGGCCCCCGATGATGTGCAAGATGAAGGTGTTGGCATACCAAAAGTAGGCAGCCATCCTCGCGGGACCCCTGGAAGGATCCAACAAACACACAACCCCCCACATAGTACCCTAAACCCTAAACCCTAAACCCTAAACCCTATACCACTCTTGGGTCATTCTTAGGAACTCTTAAGTTGACGGGACGTATTTTTTGCATCCTCCCAGGGGTCTGGGCAAATGAACCTTAACATTGGGGTCATGTACCCTAGATATTTGCTACAACCCCTATTAAGGTATACGGACCATAAGCACTTTCAGGGTTCATGTCGTCCCCAAGGATCTCAGTCACAAGTAGCACAGAGCAAGCGCATTTCCATGGTAAGCGGCTGCCCAGAGTGCCGTCACCCCTCCACTGGATCCATTTCCTGAGTTCGGGTAGGGAATCCGTCATATACGTTACCATAAAGGGGTTATGTCACTAAGAAAAGCTACACAGTGGCCCTATGGTAACTGGTAACTTCACAGAAAACTCACTCAGATCATCTCAGATCCTTATAACTTAACGGTAACGAGGACCCAGATTCGTAAAGTCACCTTTGCAGCCGCAGCAGTTGGGCGTATCACCGAGTAGGGGTGCCTGCGAGGCCATCCGGCCGAGTGGCTGCAAGTCACCGACTCAGCGCGTCGGCGCGCGCGCGTGTGTGTCTCTGTGTGTGTGTGTGTGTGGCGTTTTTGGGTTCTTGAGTTTAGGGTTTAAGGCTTCCTGGCTTCCTGCGTGGGACATGGAATCTGCTTGCGTTGAGGTGCCTTTTGGCATTGTGAATGACGATTGCATAACAACTCGCAAGAGCTGAAACCATACGGACGTCAACCCAAAACTCGCAGTTCACACAGCAGGGCAGTGGCAGCAACAATCAACTTCCTTTAGTGGTTTAGGGTTTAGGGTTTAGGGTTTAGGGTTTAGGGTTTAGGGAGCAGGCTCGCGCACGAAGAAACTGGCAACCCCAAAGCAAAGAACCTATGACTAGTGAGCTCGTTCCAATCACTGCAAGCGCAGTAGCTCCGTCACATGAACGCCACATGGGGAGGGTGTTCTCAAATACGGTACTGCTGTCTACAAAAATGGCGACGTTGAAAAACATACCCATGAGGTATCCTGGCTTGTTGAGAACCACTTCCACATAGTGCAGCAGACGTAGGACGTTGAGCAACTGGTTTCTGAAGATTTCTTAGAACCCCACACCCCGGAATCAATTTTTTGGAACCCCGCACCCCAGAAGCGTTTGTTTTGTGACAGCTACCCAAATACCTGTTTACAAAACAAGCAACCCTAAAACCGAGGCCCTAAACCCCTAAGCCATAAGCAGCTTGAGGGTAAGGGATGAAACCGCCACAAGCGGCCACCCCGATAAACCCCCAAACCCCAAAACCCTACATCCTAAACCCCAAACCCCTACACCCTAAACCCTACACCCCATACCCTAAACCCCAAACCCCAAACCCAAAAACCCAAAAACCCAAAAACCCAAACCCCAAAACCCTAAAACCCTAAACCCCAAAACCCAAAACCCCAAAGCCCTAAACCCCAAACCCTAACCCCTTAACCCCTAAACCCCAAAACCCACAACCCTAAACCCTAACCCCAAAACCCTAAACCCCAAACCCAAAACCCCAAACCCTAAACCCTAAACCCTAAACCCCAAAACCCCAAAACCCTAAACCCTAAACCCTAAAACCCCAAACCCCAAAACCCCAAACCCAAAACCCTAAACCCGAAACAAGCGGCTCCTGGCCTTCACTGCTGCTCTTCGGCCTTCGGATGGCGCTCCTGTGTGAGGTCCAGGGCGGCCTGAGGGGAGCCCCAAAGCCCCAAGGGTCCGTTTAGGGTTTAGGGTTTAGGGTTTAGGGTTTAGGGTTAGGGTTTAGGGCTTAGTGTTTAGACCTAAGCCCCCAATTCCTGATCCCCCCCCCCCCCCCCCCCCCCCCCCAAACCCTCTATGGACCCTGAACCTTAAGTCCTCCAAGCTCCAAATCCTAAATCTGAAGAATGAGTCCGAACTTGGCTGCACTTGGGAGGGTAGTAAAAAGTTAAACTTTTAGCTGCCTTATTAAGAAACCCAATAAACCCAAAAAGGCTAAAGATCTAAAGTTGAAGTAAAGTACCACACAGCGAACACACACCACCCCCTCGGCCTAGGGGTTTACGGTTTGGGTTTTGGGTTTGGGGTTTAGGGTTTAAGGTTTGGGGTTTAGGGTTGAGGGCGTCTGTACAATGCAGCCCGTTTAGTCAGCCCGCCTTCTCAATCTTCATCGGCGCTGCTTCTTTTTCTGCGCTGGCGACCTGGTTGAGGGTTTTCTCGGATTTAGGGATTAGGATACGAGGGTGTTAGGAGTATAGGGAGGTAGGGTCATAGAGCTTCAAGATTTGTGTGGGTTGTGGGGTTCTAGGTTTAAGGTTTGTGGGCTGGTAGGGTTTGCAAGGGTTTCAGGGTTTGTGGGCTTTAGAGGCCTCCCTAAGCCCTCAACCCTAACCCTGGTTAGGGCTCTGGACACAGGGTGTTGTAAGGGGGGGGGGGGGGGGGGGGGGGGGGGGGGGGGGGGGGGGGGGGGGGGGGGGGGGGGCTTCGGGCTGAGGGGCGAGGTCCTTGGGCTGGAAAGGGCTTAGGGCTTAGAACTTTCCGGTTTGGGGTAGATCCAAGAAGGGATATGAGTTCTTTATAGCTACTCTAGATAACCTTCTTCAGGGTACTTGTAACCCTTTACTTTTAACTACCCGTGAACCTCCAAGTAGGATCTCGGAGTTGCGAGCGGTCTCGGGCTAAACGTCAGCTTCGGGTTTTGATGAACCCCTAAAACCCGAAAACCCTAGACCCTAGACCCTAAACCCTAAACCCCAAAAACCAACGAGTAACCGTGGGCCAAGCTTGGTCAGCTCTGTAAGTTGGCATCCGGGAGCCGTAACTTTGCTAGAACGTTTAGGGCTAGGAGCATAACTGTACTTATAACCCTACTGATAATACCCCTAAAGGGCCTTATAGGGGTTATCCCAATTGTAAGTAGGGTTATAAGCCCAGTTATAATTGGTTGGTGTAACATGAACCTTCAAGTATTAACGGACCATGTAACCCTTTGTTTGGTTTAGAGGGGCCTATAAGGGAACCTAATGCCTAAAAGCAAGGGAAGAAGGGCGGACTCCTGGAAATGAGGGATCTTGAACAGGGTTGAGGATTTAGGGCTTATAGGCTCTAGGGTTGTGTATTACATACATATATATATATATGTATACTTTTTACAATATATATATATATACACCATATATATATATATATGTGTGTATATATATATATGGCACGAAAAAATCCTGCTCGAGCACGTGGACCCTACCCCCGAAGCCTTCCAGGGTGGCCAAACTCAGCTCGCGGCATCTTCCCAGCACCGGGCACGAACCGGAGGGGTCTTTGGACAATCTGGCACGAAGGTTTAGGGTTTAGGGTTTAGGGTTCAGAGGGTTCAGAGGGTTTTGAGGGTTTTGAGGGTTGAGGGTTGTTCCACCCAGACCCTGAAACCCTGCACCACACGAACCTGCCAAAGCCGCAGCCCCAAAGCACTTGCCAAGAACAAAACCACATTGGCACCCTAAACTCCAACCAACTAAACATCAAGTCAACCTGGGCCCTGGCCATAAGTGTTGTCTGTTGTACTATCAGGTAGCAGAGCGGCACCCCGAGACTACGGACTACAAATTTAAGGGTCCATATAGTACCCCAAGACTAAGCACTACAACTCAAGGGTCCGGGATATATACTAGGCTGCCCAGTAACCAAGGCTTCAAAAGGGTGCCCTTTTTTGCTTAAAGAGGTTTATAAGGGAACCTAGAGCCCCCAAAAAGGGAATAAGGGTACTACCGGGCGTCCTAGTATAAACCTTTTGAGCGCTGCTGTGCCTTCCATGTCGCTGTCTTCTGCCAGGTCGAACACCTCGATCTCCATGCTCTTCTCACGAGAGACTTCAGAGACTTCCATCTTCACAGCCTCCTGGATCAAGAAACAAGTAAGACAATAGCAAGGATTAAAACATACAAATAACAACGATAATGCTCATGATGGAACACAGGCAACCAACAAAAGAAACACAACACCTCTAAAAACCAAAGCCCTATAACCCTGCAAGCCGAAAACCTTGGGGCTTCTTCGTATCTTAGGGTAGTCTCTAAACCCAAGCCCCAAGCCCTAAACCCTAAACCCTCCACCCCCTGACTGCTTCTCGAACTGGGACTGAAGGCTCAGGGAGTTTAAACCTTGATGCGCTCTGCCAGAGTTTTCAGAGGGGGCTGCTCTCCCTTGCCAGAATGACTCACACTGCTATATTTAGGGGTTTAGGGTTTAGGGTTAAGGTTTAGGGTTTAGGGTTTAAGGTTTAGGGTTTAGGGTTTAGGGTTTGGGGTTTAGGGTTTGGGAATCGTTGCGGATCTGCTTAGGGCACCCTCCCTGCGCAGCTCGGGCCGAGGCAAGGGTCTGAAGTCTCGACTCCTCACCCGAAACTTCAAACTTGGGGGCTTACGAGAATAAGGGGCGCTTTATATAGAACCCCAAATAGCAGGATAATTTTATCACAAGGACCCCAATAAGGTACCCCTGATTTCAGAACCCCAAATAGCAACATAATTTTATCATAAGGACCTCAATAAGGTACCCCTGATTTCAGAAACCCCTGTTTGAATGTTAAGGGTTTAGGGCTTGGAGGGCTGTAAGTAGGGGATAGACGATCAGTTCCCAACAGGTTATGCATTCTTCTTATTCTTAGAGCCTTCTTTCGGCCAATGAAAGGCACGCTTTTCACATAGTTTTGCAAGTCGACCGTACACTTCTTATCTGGCTCTGTCCTGGGGCTCTTCCTTCTTGATGTCCTCTTTCACGGCCTGTTTCAGGGTCGTCCGGGGACAAACATATGTTCATGTGTCAAGCCACAGGTCAGTTCTCAAAACTATGATTCCTTTTTGGGTGCCCGATTTCTTTGGGGGCCGCCTTGTAACAGGAAAGGGGCCACAGTTATTGACTATATGGGAAAGGCTTACCGAGCCGCCAGGCTTTCATGAATAGGGGCCCTCAAGAAAGCAGAGCAACCATGCGGGCAAGCAAGTCTGAAAGCAATAGCCCCCTAACCCCTCAACCCTACTTGGGCGACCCTAAACCTAAACCCTAAACCCTACACACGAAACACTGAACGCAACAAAAAGCTTAAAACTCTAATCTTAGCCAAGGCTTCCACAACCCCCCCCCCCCTACACATCCTTAAACCCCAAAAACACTGAAAGCCTTAAAGCCCACAACCTCAACGAAACCTGAAATACCCTAAAGCCTGTTTAAAGATAGGTCTAGGATTCAGGCTTTAGGGTTTGGAGGCTTAGGGGTTTAGGGTTAAACCCGAAACCCTAAACCCTAAACCCTAAAACCCAAAAACCCAAAACACCCCAAAAAATCAAAAACCCCAAACCCTAAACCCAAAAACCCAAAAACCCAAAAACCCAAAAACCCAAAAACCCAAAAACCCAAAAACCCAAAAACCCCAAAACCCAAAAACCCAAAAACCCAAAAACCCAAAAACCCAAAAACCCAAAAAAAACAAAAACCCAAAAACCCAAAAACCCAAAAACCCAAAAAAAAACCAAAAAACCCAAAACCCAAAAACCCAAAAACCCAAAAACCCAAAAACCCAAAAAAACCAAAACCCAAAACCCAAAAACCCAAAACACCAAAACCCAAAAACCCCAAAAACCCAAAAACTCAACCCAAAAACCCTAAACCCTAAACCCTAAACCCTGAACCTCCCCCCCCCCCCCCACCCCCTGGTGGCCTTCAGAGTGAAGAGAGCGGCAGAGTTCGGCCCCGGAACTCGTAGTGGCTTCTCCTGGAGGAGCCCCCTTACAAAACTCACTATAGTCAAGGGTTTAGGGTTTAGGGTTTAGGGTTTAGGGTTTCCTGTTTCCTTACAAAAGTAGCTATAGTTAGGATCCTTCTAATCCAATTTGGGGTCCTAAAACCTCTGCTTATAAGTATGGGGCAGGGGGGGGGGGGGGGGCTTTCCTTGTAACCCTAAACCCTAAACCCTAAACCCTAAACCCTAAACCCTAAACCCTAAACCCTAAACTTAAACCCTAAACCCTATCCCCTCCTTGTACCGCTGGCCAGGGGGGGGGCGGAGGTTTCGGAGCTGAAAACTGAAAAACTGGAAGCCGGCCTCGTCATCGGAGCTCAGGACTTCCATCTCTGACACCCTGGCTGGCTAGGGTTTAGGGTTTAGGGTTTAGGGTTTAGGGTTTAGGGTTTAGGGTTTAGGGTTTAGGGTTTAGGGTTTAGGGTTTAGGGTTTAGGGTTTAGGGTTTAGGGTTTAGGGTTTAGGGTTTAGGGTTTAGGGTTTATGGGTTAGGGTTTAGGGTTTAGGGTTTAGGGTTTAGGGTTTAGGGTTTAGGGTTTAGGGTTTAGGGTTTAGGGTTTAGGGTTTAGGGTTTAGGGTTTAGGGTTTAGGGTTTAGGGTTTAGGGTTTAGGGTTTAGGGCTAGGCTTTAGGGTTTAGGGTTTAGGGTTTAGGGTTTAGGGTTTAGGGTTTAGGGTTTAGGGTTTAGGGTTTAGGGTTTAGGGTTTAGCGGTTTAGCGGTTTAGGGTTTAGGGTTTTGTGTTGAGCGCCTTAGGGTTCAGGCTTTAGGGGTGGGATTTCGGACGACTGTGAATTGGAGGACAACCACGACCCCGGCAATACCAACTCGAGATGAAAGATGATGCATTAAGCCCTAAACCCCATCCCAACATCAACTGAACACACTTTCAAAGTCGTGCCCTGAAACACAAAGGTCCTCATCGCCCCTTCTATCGTCACTACGGTGATGGGATGAATACCTGGCATACCTAGCTGCTGAGCACCCTGGGCCAAACAAAGTTAACCTTCCAAATATGGTAGGGTCATATATAATATGTAAACCCTAAACCCTAAACCCTGAACCCTAAACCCTAAACCCCACACCCTAAACCCTAAACCCTAAACCGCAAAAGGTTGAAGGTTGCCCTACTCAGCTACTAAGCGTAAGAGGAGGGAGTCCCTGTAAACCCTAAACCCTCCCACGCAGTGAAGATGCAAGGCAGTAACCTCCTGCGCGTCCTAAGACTCTGTGGGTTTAGGGCTTAGGGTTTAGGGTTTAGGGTTTAGGGTTTAGCGTAGAGCCGCACAGCCAGACTAGCCTTGGAAGCCTCAGTAGAGTTTAGAGGCATAAGAGGGTCTAACAGAAGAGAAACAAAAACTAAACCCCAAGACACGCTCGAACCGGCAAAAACAACGAACAAGATCCCATAGAACAAAAATGCCACCCACACCCCTCCAAGGCAACCCCGCCCCTCCTCTATCCAACAACAAAAACCGTAAACCCGAAACTCCAACAATCCGAAGCGCTATCTCACGCTCCAGACTGCAGAGTCGTGGATAATCGTGAAGCTGTTGGAATTCAGAGTCTGACTTTATGATAAGATGTAGCTTCATCATGAAGATGCTGATCATTCTTGAAGAAGTCATATATATATACATCTATATAGTATCAGATACACTCAGTGTGCGTATACACATATTACATTCTCTGTGCCTTGCTTAAGTCCTCAATTTCGTCCACCACGAATCACCCTCCCCCCCTGGGTCGGATACTCGCCTGTCGGGCTCCTGCTGCATCTTGCTGCGGCGCAGGTCATAAGAATGCCGGCTTCTGGCCTAGCACAGTGGTCGAAATGTTTGCTGCTCGCATTCCCTTGTGACCCCTGTATATATTTATACCCCCCCCCCCCCCCCAAAAAAAAAAGCTACAACTATTTACGCATTGAGGCCCCTATATGAATTAGCTTGCCGACTGTTGGGCTCGAAGAGGCTGCGCTGGTTTGGGGATTTGGGTAGTTGTCTAGATTGGGCCCCCCTTTGGGTGTCTTTACTGGGCTTTGGGTGTCGTAACATATATATATATATATGTATATATGTATATATTCAGGACCCACAAGGGTCCCCTAATGCAGAGAACTACCCAGCTACGAGCAGGTGTTTTGGGGCTTTAGGGGTTTCTGCGGTGTATGTGGGTAAACTCGTTGTAGTTCTTAGCGGGAGCTGGGACAAAAAGGGGATGTAAAATACCTACTCCCCGGATTCACAACGAAGAACAGAAATGGGACTCGAGATGGCTTTTATTTGGGCCAAAACCGACCTTAAAACTCAACTGGGCCACTTGCAACGCACCTATGAACCTCCAAGTGCTCAGCCCGCAACTGTTGCTCAGTTCTTGGAACTTCGTAGGGAAGACTTTTCTTGCCGTCCTTCTGAGTATAACATAGAACATTGCCCCAGAAAGTGTGTGGGCTAAGGGCTTTTGGGTTCAGGGCAGAGGGCTTTGAGCGTTGAGGCTCAAGAGGGTGTGGACAAGCCAAGCCCTCTAAGCCCTATAAGCGCCCATAAACGCAGCCCACAAACCTAGCCCGAGTTGAAAAAGCCCTCTCTATGGACCCGGCACGATAAACAAGCACACAGGTTCTACCAGCTTTCCACAGTTTCCAGAGTGGCAAAAACGCGAACCCTAGACCCTAAAACGCTAGAGCGCGTTCAGAGCATGACGGTTTTCGTGCAGGTGCTCGAACCCTACCTTAACACCAAAACGCCTCAGAAACTGTAGGTTCGTTTACGAGTCTTGCCATACAGGCCTCTGACTTACAACACATTAATAGCCCGCAAGAAGGCTCAACCCTCACAAACCCTGCGCCCCAGCCCCTCCAACCTCAGCCACCTGAACCCCAACAAACCAGACCACAAAATAGGGGGGGGGGGGGGGGGGGTGGGGGTCCTAAAATAGGGGACCCAGAACAGGATAATGCTATTTGGGGTGCCAAATTGGAGAAATTCACCACCCGTGGCCTCCTTTCGATTGAACTCCGCGTGAATGAAGCTTCGCATGTCCTCGGAGCTTGCATGCTTAAAGTGAGAGCCCTTCCATCTCGGGCACCTGAAAAGGGACCAGAATTGAACTGGCCTCATGCAGATACCATTTACCGTTGAAGCCTCTATGGATGTAGTTAAGTGCAAAAGATTTATGCGCGGACTTTGGGGTTCAGGGCTAGTTGGGTTCGATATCGTTGAGGTTGGGCTGCGGCCATGCGAAATGAAAGGGCAATACAGAACCCTAAGACCTAAAGCCCCAACCCTAAGCCCCTTAAGCCTTAAGCCCCTAAAGCCCCTTAACCCCTAAAGCCCTTAAACTCTAAACCCTAAGCCCTAAACCCTAAACCCTAAACCCTCCGATTTTGAGTGCTGGTCCGGAAGCCTCTGAACTGCCAGCTGACATCTTCAGCCCTGAAGCTCTCATGATTTGAACCGTAGCCCTAAACCCTAAACCGTAAACCCTAAACCTAAAAACCCTAAACCCCCCCCTCCCACTCAGACAAAACCAGAGCAGGGTCCGCCATGAGCTCTTGCTCAGGTCCTCTGAAGTCCCTCAAGGTCGAAGCCATGACAGCCTAAACCCTAAACCTTACACCCTACACCCTAAACCCTGAACCCTAAATCCTAAACCCTTAAAACCCGGCAGACCAGAACCTGCGGCCCCCAAAGTTGAGGTTCAGGGGGTTGAGGTTTTAGGGCCTGGGCCTAGGCTACTGGGAATTCTACCCCCCTCCAACCCCCAACCCTGAACCCTAAACCCTGAACCCCGAACCCTGAACCCTAAACCCTAAACCTAAACCCTAAACCCTCCCCCAAAGCCCAGCATTTGCAGCCAAAGCCTCCATGGAAGCGACAGAAAAGGCCTGGGGAAAAAAAAAAAAAAAAACATGCCGCGTTTCCGAGGATGGCTGGGACTTTTGGGCCATTAGGGTCTATAGGGTTTAGGGTTTAGGGTTTTAGGGTGTAGGGTTTAGGGTTCTTCAGGCCCTAAAGACCTAGACCCTAAACAGCAGTTTTTGCCCAACTGGCACAAGTTAAGAAGGGCAACTGACGCCGAGATGGCCCTACACCTCCACCCACCTCATCTTATCGTTCTTATCATACAATCATGGTTTTGTCTAGGGAGCATGTGCGAATGTGCCGCAACTGGCTGATTCCTCTGTCCTTGTGGTTCCGGACAGAATTCCTGTTCCGTCTGTAGGATACCGGGATGAGCCGTGTCCCGTCGAGGGATGCCGCCATGTTATCCAACCATGGTGCCCTCAGCATGTAACTGTAGCATTCTTTTTTCAAGGGGGTTTACGAAATTTTTGGGGGCCTACACTGGGGGTCCCTTATTCTCGTAAACCATGCTCTTGAGGGTCAGCTTGTTCCCTGCTACCACTGGCTGGCAGGGAATGAGGGAATGAGGGCCCTATATAATCCCTTAAAGTTGGTATATATATATATATATATACATTTATATTTGTATTTATATTTATATATATATATATATATGGGGGTACCTCATTCCCTGATTCCCTACTAAGAACCAGGGGGGACCACGTGATGGTCGAAGTCGTTCCCGAGGGATCCAGGTCCTGATTCGTCCACGTCCTCTGGCCATCTCGGGCCGTTGTTGTTGTTAACGAAAATGACGACAGACTGAGACCACGAAGGTTGTCTGGGCCTCTCTTCCGACGTGTGGTCATAAGACCTCAAACCCGCAAACCCGGAGAAGTAAGGGTAAACCCTAAACCCTAAACCCTAAACCCTAAACCCTAAACCCTAAACCCTAAACCCTAAACCCTAAACCCTAAACCCTAAACCCTAAACCCTAAGGGGAGGTAAGGTGCCGAATTCCCCCGACTTCCCTTGTGAAGAACTGGTGAGTCGCTCATTTAGGGTTCAGGGCTTCGGCTCTAGCTACCTTTTATATTTCATGGCTGAATTAACAACTTAAATGTCTATTCTTTCTCGAGTTTCAATACCCTAAACATGTAAAATGTTACCCCGCTATTACAAAGCCTTCTAGTAGGTCCACCGAAGTTTAGGGCAGGGTTACAGTAGGCAGAAGGCTTTTGGGAGCTTCTTGTGTGTGCAAATATCTTAGTCCCTTGTAAATGCAAAGGGCGAAACTCCTCTGAGGGGCTTACAGGGTTTGGGGTTTAGGGTTTAGTGCTTCACCTGCAGTTCGTTCCGAAGGCCCAGAGAACCATGGCTTAAGTTTTGAGTACATTTTTCCTAAGTTATGATGGTCCTTTTGAAGGGGTCTCTTATCGTAATACAGAGATCCTTGTGTTTAGGTACGGGCATAATATAGCATCTCCCATGTGCTGGATTGGAAAAGGAGCATGCTTGCTGAACCCGAACCCCGACACAAACCTCCCTAAACCACTACGCCCCATAAAAAAAAATCAAGCTTGGCTGACTTTGAGCTTTGGGCGTGACAACATCATCTAGTTGGCCCCCAGGAACCCTGAACTACATACTGTTCCTGAAATCATGTAGATTTTTGTTTCTAAGTTATCTGTTTGGGGGCGTGCCTTCTTGATTGTGGAGCCTTATGCTCAGAAAGGGCACACAACGTACAGAATCCCTGCATGGTAGTTGTTCAAATTACCAGTCTCAAAAATCACGATAATGTAGGTTCCCCTGTTAGTAAGGATTCCCCTTGACCAGAACTTAAACAAAACTACAATGTCAAACGCTGCAGTCCAAACACAAAAACAACTCAACATCAAGCCCCCCCTAAACCCTAAACCCTACACCCTACACCCTAATCCCTAAACCCTAACTCCCTGAAAACTCGGCCCAGCGGCGCCGCCAAGGCCCTCCCCCAGACCACTGGCACCTTCGACAGGCAACACACATGTGGGGTTGAGGGGGATGAGGAGGGTTTAGGGTTTAGGGTTTGGGGTTTGGGGTTTGGGGTTTGGGGTTTGGGGTTTGGGGTTTAGGGTTTAGGGGCTAGGGTTTAGGGCTTAGGGTTTAGGGTTAGAGGGTAACATGGGGGAGGGGTAGACGATAATGAGGATACCCTCCTAGGGGTCCTATTCAGAGGGATTCTACGATACTTGGGGGTAATAAGGGGTGCCGGGGTACCCCAATTATAGGAAACCCCCAAATGGGTGAAAGGGTCCAGCGGGTTCAAGGGTGTCAAAGGTTTAAGGGTTGAAGGGTCGATGGTTTAGGATCCAAGGTTTAAGGGTGCAGGAAGGGGCCTTTCGGAAAGAGAACCCAAACCTGAATCCTCCTAAACCCTGAACCCTAAAACCCCACAACCCGAAAACCCCAAAACCCAAAACCCAAAACCCCAAAACCCCCAAAACCCCAAAAACCCCAAAAACCCCAAAACCCCAAAACCCCAAAACCCCAAAACCCCAAAACCCCAAAACCCCAAAACCCAAAAACCCCAAAACCCCAAAACCCCAAAACCCCACAACCCCAAAACCCCAAAACCCAAAACCCCAAAACCCCAAAACCCCACAACCCCAAAACCCCAAAACCCCAAACCCGAAACTTCAGGCCCTAACCCAAAACCCCGGCTCTTGCCCTCAGAAGCCCCGCCACTAATTACAGTGGTTAGAATTCAGGGTTCAGGGTTTAGGGCTCCAGCTTTGTAGGGCCGGGCTCAGGGCTTATGGGGCATAGGCCTTCGGGTTTTTCCGTAAGTCTAAACCCTGAACGGCCTTAGGGCTTAGGGCCAACAAAAGCAATGTACCGCAGTGGCCCGCTGAACTCTCGAGCCCGGGCGCCCTTCTTCTTCAGGCCGCGGGTGGGATCCTCCTGCACAGGCACTGGGGATGAACGCTAAACCCCCCTAAACCCTAAACCCTAAACCCTCAACCCTAAACCCTAAGCCCCCCTAAAATCCCCCCCCTACACCCCCCTTTTTGGATTCGGGGTTTGGGAGCTTAGGGTTGAAGACCCCTCCCTACCCCTAATCCTCCCCAAACCTCCTTTTAGGGTTCAGGAGCTTTGGATTCAGGGACCCCCCCCTTGACCCAGCAAAATCCCCTAAAGCCTGGAGGGTCCCGTATAAGGGTCCTTCTTTCCTCCCCTTGACATCGACTTGAAAACGCCACTCGGACGAAACCAAGATCTCAAACAGCCACCCATGTCCCTCGAGGACCAGAGTTCGCTTCGCTACTACCACCTTAAATCTTGAACCACAAACCAAACACACTTTGGGGCCTTTAGGGCTCTTTCTCTGCTTTGTAGTATTGCTTCTTGACAGGTTGCTGGTGAACTTTGAGGCCATAGGTTGCGGCTTTTCAGGGGGGGGGGGGGGGCAGGTTACAATAAGGCTTTGTTTGTGGGTTTAGGTTTGGGGTTTCGGGTTGCCCGGGCCAGAAGCCTATGCCCCTTTCCCGAGAGTCTAAACTTCAAGCCGTTCCTCAAGATTTCTTGCTGAAAGGCGGAGGGTTAAAGGTTTGGGGTTGAGGGATTAGAGCATATAGCAGCTCGCACCTTATACATAATCAGATCACCGATTTCAAAATACATAAACAAGAAAAAAACTCATCCAGAATAATACTGGTAACAGTGCGATTAATCTCGAAAATACCCCCAAAAGCTGGCTTGTTCGGCCTCTAGCTGGGTTTAGAGTTTAGGGTTTAGGCCAAGATTGCAATCGCCAGTCTCAGAACTAGAAACTTAGTATTCCCTTGAGAAGTCTAGGGCTTAAGAACTGGTGTTTAGATTAGAGCCCTCCTCTTGGGGACATGCCTGTGAGGTAAGGGCGTTCGCACATGCAAATTGCATGCCAGGTCTATGTGGCTCTATACTTTGGCCAGGACGCTTTTTCTGTCAACTTAAACCTTAAACCCGAAAGCCTAACTGTTGAACCCTGCACGCCAAACCCAAACAAGTCTCAGAGCCGCGCCTGGCGCTGCCATTTGGCACCCAGGGCGCCCTCGACCTGGGGCAAAATACAACCTTAGAGGCAAACCCTCAGCCCTAAACCCGAAGCCTCAAACCCCCAAAACCCTAGACCCTGAAACCCTGAAACCCTGAAACCCTGAAACCCTGAAACCCTGAAACCCTGAAACCCTGAAACCCTGAAACCCTGAAACCCTGAAACCCTGAAACCCTGAAACCCTGAAACCCTGAAACCCTGAAACCCAACCAGCACCCCCCAACTACCCATTAACCATAAGAGTAGGGTGTGTACATATATATATGCTACCCCCCCCCATGTGCCCACACTTTTTCCTCATTTCCAGATAAAAATACTACGTTCCGCCATGCGCGGTGGTTTTTAAAGGGGGGAGGGACTCCCATAAAAACTCCAGCAGAAGTGACCTGAACAATTTGCTCGAGATTGTGGATTGGATGCTATGAATTTAAATAGAAATCCTATGCATGTGAATAGCGTTCCTATCAAATTTCGGCTTCATTTTGTTTTCATAGGAATCTTATTAAAATGAAAAGGAAACCCTTTAACATGAATGAGAACCCTTAATTCTATGAAATTCTATGGGAACCCTATTCAAATGATAGAATCCTATTTAAAACTGATAGGAATCATATTACATTTGTAGGAGCCTTATTAAAATAATTAGGCAATCTATGAAAATTTATTGGAATCTTATAAACAGAAACCTCGATTTAAATCCATAGGAACCCATTTTCAATTGATCGGATTGTATAAAAAGTGAATAGGAAGCGTATTTATACGAATAGGAACCCGATCAAAGTTAATGAGAAGCCAAGTATACTTGATAGGAATCCGAATAAACTGAATAAGGCCCCTACTAAAATTAATCGGAACAATGGGACTCCGATAAAAAAAGAGTGTGAACCCCTAAATAATAGGAATCCTACTAAATTTAATATGAGCCCCAACCAATATGAATCTCTTCCAAACGAATGAGATCCCTGTTAAACACGAATACGAATCCCATTGACATGAATAAGAGCCCTGAAACTGGTAGGAATCTTATTATAGTAGCGGGAGCCTTATTAAAATAATTAGGAACTCTATGAAACTTTCTTGGCATCCTATGAAAATAAGTATGAATCTTTCATTGATCATAGGAATCCTATCAAATTGTTTTCGGATATACAGCTAATAGGAAGTCTATTAGAATGAACCCGAACAAATCAAAAAGAACGCGGTGGTATTCATAATAGGAACGAATAGGGCTCCTATGAAAAAAGATTCCTTTAACAAGAATTAATAGGAATCCTACTAAATGAATATAAACATAAACCAATACGAATCCCTTTCAAAAAGAATGAGACCCCTATTAAAATTAATACGAATCCCATTGACATGAATAAGAACCCTAAAATTGATAGGAATCTTATTACATTAGTAGAAGCCTTATTAGAATAATTAGGAACCCTATGAAACTTTATTGGAATCCTATAAAAATAAATAGGAATCCTGTATTGAAGTCATAGGAATCCTGCCAATATTTTTCGGAACCGATAAAAGTTTATAGGAAGCCTATTAAAATGAATAGGAACCCTTTCCAAATTGAAAAGAACTGGCTATAATTCATAGGAATCCTGTTAAAATGAGAAGGAATCTTACTAAAATGAATAGGGACCAATAGGACTCCTGTATACAATAATGTGAATCCGCTTAAATGATTGTTTTTTTGGACCGTATAGTTTTTTTTGCAGTCCCAGGCCTCCAAAGTGCTGTACCGTCCCAAAAAAACCAATCTTTTGAAAGCAAAAAGTGCAAAAATGCTGTACTGTCCCAAAAAAACCAAAAAAACCAAAGTTTGGAGAGCTTGGGCTCCTCCAGGGCCTGGAGGTCTCCAAACTTTGGTGTTTTTGGTTTTTTTGGGACAGTACAGCATTTTTGCTCGTTTTGGCTTAAAAACATTGGTTTTTGTTGGGACAGTACGGCGTTTTTGCAGTCCCAGGCCTCCCAAGTGCTGTACTGTCCCAAAAAAACCAATCTTTTTAAAGCAAAAAGTGCAAAAATGCTGTACTGTCCCAAAAAAACCAAAAAAACCAAAGTTTGGAGAGCTTGGGCTCCTCCAGGGCCTGGAGGTCTGCAAACTTTGGTTACGGCGTTTTTGCAGTCCCAGGCCTCCAAAGTGCTGTACTGTCCCAAAAAAACCAATCTTTTTAAAGCAAAAAGTGCAAAAATGCTGTACTGTCCCAAAAAAACCAAAAAAACATAAGTTTGGAGAGCTTGGGCTCCTCCAGGGCCTGGAGGTCTCCAAACTTTGGTTTTTTTGGTTTTTTTGGGACAGTACAACATTTTTGCTCGTTTTGGCTTAAAAACATTGGTTTTTTTGGGACAGTGCGGCTTTTTTGCAGTCCCAGGCCTCCCAAGTGCTGTACTGTCCCAAAAAAACCAATCTTTTTAAAGCAAAAAGTGCAAAAATGCTGTACTGTCCCAAAAAAACCAAAAAAACCAAAGTTTGGAGAGCTTGGGCTCCTCCAGGGCCTGGAGGTCTCCAAACTTTGGTTTTTTTGTTTTTTTTGGGACAGTGCAAGCATTTTTGCTCGTTTTGGCTTAAAAACGTTGGTTTTTTTGGGACAGTACGGCGTTTTTGCAGTCCCAGGCCTCCAAAGTGCTGTACTGTCCAAAAAAAACAATCTTTTTAAAGCAAAAAGTGCAAAAATGCTGTACTGTCCCAAAAAAAACCAAAAAAACATAAGTTTGGAGAGCTTGGGCTCCTCCAGGGCCTAGAGGTCTCCAAACTTTGGTTTTTTTTTTGGTTTTTTTGGGACAGTACAGCATTTTTGCTCGTTTTGGCTTAAAAACATTGGTTTTTTTGGGACAGTACGGCGTTTTTGCAGTCCCAGGCCTCCAAAGTGCTGTACTGTCCCAAAAAAAACAATCTTTTTAAAGCAAAAAGTGCAAAAATGCTGTACTGTCCCAAAAAAAACCCAAAAAACATAAGTTTGGAGAGCTTGGGCTCCTCCAGGGCCTAGAGGTCTCCAAACTTTGGTTTTTTTTGGGTTTTTTTGGGACAGTACAGCATTTTTGCTCGTTTTGGCTTAAAAACATTGGTTTTTTTGGGACAGTACGGCGTTTTTGCAGTCCCAGGCCTCCAAAGTGCTGTACTGTCCCAAAAAAACCAATCTTTTTAAAGCAAAAAATGCAAAAATGCTGTACTGTCCCAAAAAAACCAAAAAAAACAAAGTTTGGAGAGCTTGGGCTCCTCCAGGGCTTGGAGGTCTCCAAACTTTGCTTTTTTTGGTTTTTTTGGACAGTACAGCATTTTTGCTCGTTTTGGCTTAAAAACATTGGTTTTTTTGGGACAGTACGGCGTTTTGCTCTTTTGGGCCTAAAACATTGGTACAGTAGAGCGCTTTCGTGCTCGCTGCCCTAGGAGGCTTCGAAATCCTAAGCCTCTAAACCCTACCATGGCACCTGAGAGGAAAAAGTGTGGGCATATGGGGGGGGAGGGGTACCATATATATATATATATGTGAGAGAGAGAGAGCCCTTTCGGGTCTATTTTGCGTATCCTCTTGCTTGCCTTCTATTTAATTAATTTAGATAATTTAATTAATTTAATTAATTTAATTAATTTCATTAATGTAATTAATTTAATTAATTTAATTAATTTAACCAATTTAATTAAATTAATTATTCTAATTAATTTAATTAATTAAATTAATTGAAATAATCGAAATCGACAAATTTCTTTTGCGAATTCAATTAATTTAATTAATTGAATTAATTGAATTAATTGGATTAATTGAATTCGAAAAACCTCTTTCGCTACTTCAATTAATTCAATTAATTCAATTAATTGGATTAATTGAATTAATTGAATTCGAAAAGCCTCTTTCGCTAATTCAATTAATTCAATTAATTCAATTATTAAATTGTTTTTCAAAAAAGATTTTCCCCCCTATTGAATTAATTCGAATTAATTCAATTAATTCAATTAATTCAATTAATTCAATTAATTCAATTAATTGAATTAATTGAATTAATTGAATTCGAAAAGCCTCCTTCGCTAATTCAATTAATTCAATTAATTCAATTAATTGAATTAATTGAATTAATTGAATTAATTGAATTAATTGAATTAATTGAATTAATTGAATTAATTCAATACGCGGGAAATCCGGATTTCGATTAGAGAACCCCACATAATTGAATTAATTGAATTATTTGAATTCGAAAAACCTCTTTCGCTAATTCAATTACTTCAATTAATTCAATTAATTGGATTAATTGAATTAGTTGAATTCGAAAAAGCCTCTTTCGCTAATTCAATTAATTCAATTAATTCAATTATCAAATTTTTTTCAAAACAAAGATTTCCCCCCTATTGAATTAATTCAATTAATTAAATTAATTCAATTAATTAAATTAATTCAGTTAATTGAATTAGTTGAATTAATTGAATTCGAAAAGCCTCCTTCGCTAATTCAATTAATTCAATTAATTCAATTAATTCAATTAATTCAATTAATTAAATGAATTCAATTATAATTAATTGAATTAATTTAATTAATTGAATTAATTGAATTAATTCAATACGCGGGAAATCCGGATTTCGATTAGGGAACCCCACATAAGTGAATTAATTGAATTAATTGAATTCGAAAAGCTTCTTTCGCTAATTCAATTAATTTAATTAATTTAATTGATTAAATGAATTGAATTAATTGAATTAATTAGATTAATTGAATTAATTGAAGGGTCCCTAATATGAGTTATCATAATTATGATAACTTTAAGGTCCCCAGTCTGAGTTATCATGATTATGATAACCTTAGGTCCCCAAACCTGAGTTATTATAATTATGATAACTTTAGGTTCCCAAACCTGAGTTATCATGATTATGATAACCTTAGGTTCCCAAACCTGAGTTATCATAATTATGATAACTTTAGGTTCCCAAACCTGAGTTACCATAATTATGATAACCTTAGGTTCCCAAACCTGAGTTATCATAATTATGATAACTTTAGGTTCCCAAACCTTAGTTATCATAATTATGATAACTTTAGAGTCACCAACTGGAGTTATCATAATTATGATAACTTTAGAGTCACCAACTGGAGTTATCATAATTATGATAACCTTAGGGTCCCACCCCTGAGTTATCATAATTATGATAACTTTAATTCGCAGCTTCACCTTAAGAGAGAGGTGCGCGAATAGGGAGGTGTAATATTAAGTGATTGTGTGCTGCAATATGGAGTAGATGAGGTGTGAGCAGGTAGGTGTGCGGGACGATGGAATAAGACTGGTGAGTAGAGGGATGAAGCGTTGAGAACAAAATCTTAGGGACCATGGCTTGCGATTTGACTCCTTGCAGCAAAAAGGGAGCCCAAAATCTTAAGGACCAGGGCTTGCGATTTGACTATTCTGGGCAGAGGCAGCATCACAGCTGCCTCCAGCCTTAAGCAGTTCAGCATGTTATGAAGGATTTGTTCTTGTCACATCATCTTTCATTTTAAGGGGCATCCATTGGAGTCTGCAAGAAGCAGTTCTTTCACAACGATATCTTCGGCAACGATGTGGCGCTGAACCGTATCTGCAATTCGTCTATATTTTTACTCACGCTACAAACAGCACAACTCTCTTCACTCTCAATTACCAGGTGACAAGATCGCGAAGAATTTGTTTCGCAGACTTCGTCGAAGTGCCGATCGTGACGTGGCGACGCAGGACTTACCTAAACGACAACTGCTTTAATTTCTCTGCCAGGAAATGAAAAATACAGAGAGCTTCCATCCGTTTTATGAATGAGTTCCTTTATCTCCGAATAGGAGATGAATGAGCTCCTCTATCTTCTCAAAGGAAATGCAAGAATGGAAGCGAACGAAGTCCGCTATCTTCAAATGCGTAATGAGAGAGCTCCCCTATTCCCTAAAAAGAGTGAGCGAGGGGAGCCCTCTCATGACCTATTTAGGAGACAGAAGAGATCTGCGCATTTAGAAGCGGAAGTGAAAGAGAAAGCAAGGGCACTCTGTCACTTCTTACAAAGAGATAGAAGAGCTTTCGGATGACCTCTTAAAAGATAGAAGAAACTCTCTCAAGCAAACGATTGAGATTGACGAGCTGTGTCATGTCCCATGTAAGGGATAGAGAAAGTCCTTCAAAACTTTGTTTAGGGCAAAGGAGAGATCTCAAGCAAAAAGGTAGAAGAGCTCTGTCATTTCTTATAAGAGATAAACGGCTTCTTTCATTACTTGAGAAACTATTTCTGAAAAATAGACATAATAGAGAACTCCTCTTTCATTTCCTGCAAGAAGATGGAGCAGGTGTCTCATGACCTATTGCGATATAGAGAAGCTCTTTCATGTAAAAGATAGGAAATGGTAGAGCTGCGAATTCTTCTACCTATTGAAGACATATGACAACGATAGGACATGAGCGAGCTCTCATGATCTCTTATGTAGTACCAGTGCATTCTTCTATCTCTGAGTAGGAGATGAAAGAGCTCCTCTATCTTCTCATAGGAAACAAAAGAAGTCCTGTATAGGAAACGAAAAGACCCTTTCATAAACCAACAAAAAACGGACATGAATTGATGTCATCCATCTTGTTAATCATCATGAGAGATGGGACATGAAAGAGCTCCTCTTTTGTTTGGAAATGACCTAGTTTTTTTTCTGAGTGAAGGATCTCTCTTTCGAATAAATGAGATATCTTTTCTATGTCCCTCTGTGTCGTGTTTGGAAATGAGAGAGCCCTCTGCGAGAGCTCCTCTCTCTCTCTCTCCTAATGGGACATGCAAGTCCTCCTGTGTTTTGTTTTCAATGAAAGATCTCTCTCTCTCGAGGAAATGAGGAGAGGCAAGGGCGGTCTCTCATTTCCTACAAAGAGAGGGGCTTTCAGATGACCTATTAAAAGATAGAAGAAGTTCTCTCACGTAGAAGATAGAAATTGATGAGTTGTGTCCTGTCCCATTTAAGGGATGGAGAAAGTCCTGCAAAACTGTTAGTTAGAGTAAAGGAGAGATCTCAAGTAGAAAAGGTAGAAGAGCTGTGTCATCTCCTATGAAGAGATAAACGGCTTCTCTGATGGCTTCTTCATTGATAGAGAAGCTATTTCTGAAAACTCGACATAGTAGAGAACTCTCTCTCTCTCATTTCCTGCGAAAAGCTAGAGGAGGTCTCTCACGACGTATTGCGAGATAGAGAAGCTCTTTCATGTACCAGATAGGAAACGGTAGAGCTGTGAGCCGCCCTCAACCCTACATCCTCAACTTTATATATACCCTAAGTTCATTCTTTTTAGGGTTTAGTTTAGGATTTGTGGTTTAGGATTTACGGGTTTAGGGTTTGGGGCTTCGGTTCAGTGAACAATTATCTCAATCAATGAGTCCGTAACTTCTAGCGTGTATGTTGTTGCTTAGGAACAAATATAAATGAAGCATTTTGCTTTGTTTTTTAAATACTACACATGCAAACTAAGCAAAAAGAACCCTAAAGGTATCAGCCACATATATATATATATATATATAAGCCCCGCTTTATGAAAAGTATTCGGACGGGTGCAGGTAAATACCAAAGCCCAAACCCGAAACCCTCGATAGGCCTTGTGCCAGCAGCGGCTGAGGCTCTCCGCAAGGCCGTCCTACCAGTGCGAGGTGCTTCTCGCATGTGTAGGGTTTAGGGTTGGGGTTTAAGGTTTAGGGTTTAGGGTTTAGGGTTTAGGGTTTAGGGTTTAGGGTCTAGGGTCTAGGGTCTAGGGTTTAGGGTTTAGGGTTTAGGGTTTAGGGTTTAGGGTTTAGGGTTTAGGGTTTAGTTTTAGGGTTTTGGGGTTTTGGGCTTGGGCTTGAGGGCTCTTCGGGTTCAACTGGTGCTTCGGGGTGTAGGGTTTGGGGTTTAGGAAGCCCTAAAACCCGTCAACCCTAGAAACCCCTTCGGCTGCCTCGCGGCGAAAGCGCCCCAGTAACTGGCCCTCGGCACGCAAGGCGCTGAGCGCCCTCCGGCGCAGCTCCTTGAAGTGGTTCGAGGGTTTGGGGTTGGGGGTTAGGGGGGTGGAGGGGAATCTTTGTGGTTTTTAAACCCTCATAAGGTGAAACGCAAGGCTTTGCTGGAAGCCCAGGCACATTTCAGCTTTGGGAGTTGAATGAGGAGTTGTTGCTGATTGGAGACAGGAAGACATGACTACAATAGCAGGGGCAGGGCCAGTGCCAGATGACTGTGATGACGCGTAGCTCCGGCAAAACCTCCTACTGCCCTGCTGCTCTCGGCTTATCGCTTTCGCTAATCCTTCACGCAACGCTGTCCCCAAACTCCTCCCCAACAAGCTGAATCCCTGCGCTCCCTTGCCCTTACCCCGAAACCCTTGATAACTGTTTCACCGTTACAACCCCTTCAAAGATGTAAATGCTGAGCCGAAAGGCTGGATCATCCAGGCGCAAGTTGATCAAGTGGCAATCAGCATCGCCTCTCGCAATCGATCAAACCCACTACTAAACCCCAAGCCCCTTGACCCCCCAAATTCGTCGCTGCCTAGGGGCTCTCACTCTGCGGCTTGGTGTTTAGGCTTTAGGGTTTGGGGTCTAGTGTCTAGGGGTTCAAGGTGCAGGCTAAAGGGCTGAGGTGTCGACTAGGGTTTAGGGTCCGGGATTAGGGTTTAGGGCTTTCGCAGTGGAGTGGAGTCTGTCTAGGGTGGTGCCCTAAGTGCATTAGCCAAAAGCTCAACCTGCAACTACACGAACTCCATCCAAGATGATCTGCCCCTGCGCGCCCGGGCCTACATTCATTAGGGTTCGCGGCACTTTAGGTTTCAGGCTGAGGGCCTGAGGGGCTGCGGAGCTGTAATGGTTCTCTGTACTCGAAGGACTTCGGCTTCTGACTGGTTGCTGAACACAAATCAAAGCAACATACTCCAAGAATGCATCCTTTTCTGCTGACACGCCATGAGCCTGCGAAGCAAGTCTCGCAGGGCGTTGCGCATTTCGAAAGACAACGCAGTCTCTGCATCCCACTTGCGCAGGTCAACGAAATGGTCCAGTTGCCATGCATACTTCACCCTGGTGTGCTCCCGCTTCGGTAAGCTCCAGGGCGGGTGCAACGGCAGCCAGTAAGGCTTATGCCCCAGCCACCCCAGTCTTGTCAGAGCGTCTGCTGGGACAGCAAAAAGCCCGGAAAGCCGGCCCTCATCCAGGAGTGACACCACGAGAAGGTCAAAGTCAGTCTCTGCGTATGCAAGTCTGCCAAGTGCTCCTCCCTGCTTCCAAAGGCCTGCTGCGTACCTGCGGCAGTCTCGACGAGTTGATGCTTTTTCCTGAACACGCCACCGGCACCCTTCGCCAAGGAGCACGGAGTCCACGGTTGTCAAGTCTGCAAACGACTTCTCCAGCTGATAACCGACGCAATGAAATAACGTCGTCAGAAGAACGTGGGCACGCTCTTCGACCTGACTGGTGGGGCTGCACTGCAAGCGAGCGTCTTCAAGCGAGATGTGAGGAAATTTAATGCTGTTTCGAAAGCAGCTCTCCAACAGAGAGCCGACATCATCTCTGACCTGAAGTTCCATATCCCTGCTTGAACCGAGTCTTATGCAGAAGCTCTTCCTTGTCACTGATGCTCCTGGCAAAGCCCACAAGGCATCGCGATCAAGTGCGACCAGCAGTAGCAGCATGCCGGCGTACCCACAAGTTCGCGAGAATGAATATCCACACCTTTGCTGGCGAAAGCTGGCCGACTTCAGCTGCAAGGCAAGCCCACCAGTGAGAGAGCCTCGGATTTGGAAAAGCGCATCTACTTTCGAGGCGTCTGAAACCCGGATGATCTCAAAGCTGTCTGCCTGAGGCGATAGGCTGAAACGGTGCAGCAATCGATCGAAGGACTCTTCCTCCTTGCTGGCATGTTTGGAATGGACTGTGAGGGCACGGCGCCGTGATTCCTGCTGCACGTCTGTCAAGCTTTCAAAGGATGCTTCCAGCGGGGTGGGAAAGTTCAACGATCGCTGTAAACGAACTCCGTCATCACACAAAGCTCGAAGACGCACATCGTAGGCACGAGCCGCCTCCTGCGCTGTCCAAAAATAACCCACGTGTTCTCGGCGCCGGTTGACGCTGACACGCGCCTGAAATTTGCCAACAGCCTTGTTCCAACAGACTCCATTGAATTGGTGTGATGCGCAAGCATGCACAAGCCTTCGGGCATCAAGACTTAACGTCCGTTGTGAGACTAACATGCGTGGTGGCCATTGAAGCTAGCACTGCCCAGAGTCCAAGTGCCCACGGACGCCAACTCTCCGACATTTCAAAGCCATGAAGCATGCATGCGATACAATGGAATGAGGAATGACGCACGTGAACAGGCCACAACAACCTGCCTAAAAACATGCGGAACATGAAGCCAGAGCTAGTGCAGTTTTTGCTCCTCTGCCAATGCTGAGCAAACTTAAAGTTCAAGCTTGCGCAATCTGTTCTTCAATCCAAATGTGCCAACGCTTGGCTCGACATCCAAAGCTCCGGCTGCTTCAAAAGTTTTGAAAAGTTTCCATTTAAAATGAAAAAACAAACGCTCTTGAAGCTCAAGCGTCTCTCATGCTACTTAGCTTTGCAGTGCAGCTCTGTACTTTGCGCATGTTCGCAGCATCGGCTCTTTGTACCCTTTTAGTTTGAAAGGGCATATGCAACTTAGGCATGACAAGGCCAAACAACCTCCAACCACCCCAACCCCCTTAAACTCCATGCATGGCAAACTTCCGAACTCCCGAGGGTCGCAGCCTTGCTTGCTCTCTTGCACTATAAGCCGACACTTGGGAGGGGAGAGATTCAGCTTCTCTTCGACAACAGCTGGTGCTGCTAGCTGTATCGAGCGAACTGTCTCGAGAGAAACACGCGATTTCTGAGATCAGCGTTGCGGTCTAGCCTTGCAACATCAGGCCTCAGGGATGCAACAAGAAAACTTAAACCCGCAACAACAATCCGAAGCTGGGGTAAGTACAGCTGTCTCGACGATCGCTGTCCCAGTGGTAAGTTTGACAACTGTGTCGAGGATCGCAGTGTCGACACGACTGGCGCATCTGCAGGCTACTGCGAAGCTACCTTTGACACCTGAGGAGTTGAGAGCCTGTTGTGACTGCTGTGCCCTAGTTTCTGGGCCCCAACACCAAGAAGCAGTGTATGAATTACGAAATAGGGCGTTGAGAACTACATCTAACCTTCAAGTTTTGAGGGGGCACGAACCACCTGACTCCAAACGTGGCCTGGCATCGCCATCACTGGCAGGAGCTACGTGCAGGCCTGTCTCCTGTAGAGAAACTGATATGCTGGCATTGAGCTCGAGCGTTCATGCATGCTAGTATACACAAAGCCGTTTGTCGCTCAAGCACGACTGCTCGATAGAGGCTATGTCGAGCTACGTCCTAAACCATGGGCAAATGACCTCGACCCGCACACACCGGCTGATGTATCTGGCGGTATTTGCATTACAGGCACGGTGTCCTACCGAAAGCTTCTGAACCAAGAACGGGCTCGAGATGGAGCCTAGAATCGCTAACGGGCCATTCAGTCCCGGAAGCGTCTAAGCTGTAAGCCCTAGCTCGGGGCGTGACCCACTCGCTCATGGGTTTGGGATTGCCCTGAATACTAAATCCTACAACCTATATAAACCCTAACTCTAAACCCTAACAGTAGAGCCGTAACGCCTAAATCCTGAACGGCTTGTAGGCCGCAACCATATATAAGTCTGAATAGGTGAAACCCTGCTGTCCTTAACAGAAGCTGGCTCCGGCCATGCAAACAAAACACAGCTGAGGGTATAGGGTTTTGGATTTAGGTTCAGGGTTTAGGTTTTCGGGTTGCACAAAGGTTTGGAGTATCTTGCATTTGTTGAGATTGAGGGTTTGGGGATGAGCACGCAAAGAGTAGCAACTGCTGTAAGCTGAGGGTTTCGGGGCGAGAGCCGGGCATATTCTGTGGTTGACCAAGTTTGAACTCCACACACGCACCCGGGCCTAAACCCGAAAACCTGGACTCCTAGACCCTTCCAACCTTTACCCTTGAATCCCAAGATCATACCCCGCATAGAGCTTAGGGTTGAAGGGTCTGAGGTTCAGTTAGGGTTCAGGATGGTTAACTGCAAGGCCTTTGGGCTTAGGGCTTAGAGCCTCCGAGAGAACATGTCAATCTGCGGGGCGGTATTCGGCGCCTAAAGAAACCTCCTAAAACGGTCCATGCAACACATCTACAAAGATCGACATGACATGAAGAGGGCTAAGCCCGAAACCGTAAACCCCCAAACCTTATATACTTGGGGCGTTGAGGGAGTTGTGTAGCTTTTTTGGGCTTCAGGGTTTTCGGGCTACAAGTCTGGGTCCTTGTTCGAGTCTCTGTGAATAAATTACTGCAGGGTTTGAGCCCTACGAGTAGAAGACCCAAGCCCGAAGCCCTAAACCCTGAGCTCTAAGTCGACAACCCTAAAGCCCTCAACCCTAAACCCTAAAACCAATAGGCATACTTAAGCGGACTTCCGAAATTCAACCGAACACGCTAACTAGGCTAAGCGATTCTAGGGTTTGTAGGGTTTAGGGTTCTGTTTTTTTTGGGTTAGGGTAGATTAGGGTTTTGTGTTTTGGTTTTGGGCTTCTTAGGGTTTTGGGCTTTGGAATTTGGGTTCTTTAGGCTTTGTAGGGTTTATGGGGTTTGTAGGGTTTCGGGTTGCCCTAAACCAAGGAGCAAAACGCAAAAAGCGCTTCTTCTTGACTGTCTCCGCGCCCTTCTTAGGCGCGGTCTCGGAGATTTCTGGCTCCCGCCTTTGGGGACTCCATCCTACAAATTGCAAGAAGGGGTTCAGGACCCAAAAAGTAGAGACCCCCAAACCCTAAACCCTAAACCCCAACCCTAGACCCTGTGAACTTTACAATCACCTAGAAGCAAAGCCAAAATTGACCTGATTTCAGGTTCAATGTTCAGCTTTCTTTGTGCCATTTTCCTGCATTGAAAGCTCCAAAGTCTCAATATTACCGAGGCTTTAGGGTTAGGGTTCTAACCCTAACCCTAAACCCTAAACCCTAAACCCTAACTCCTATATAACCCCTTATTAAACCCTTATTAAACCCTAAACCCTAAACCCCTCCAACCTACGAAAGAACATGTGCGCCGGCTCAGGTCTTCGGTGCCTTCTGGCGCGTGTTCACACGCGCTTTTGCCTCGATGGCGGCGAGCTGGTCCAAGATGTGCTTAAGCCTGTGGTGGTTAGGGTTTAGGGTTTGGGGCTTAGGGTTTAGGGTTTAGGGTTTAGGGTTTGGGGTTTGAGGTTTAGGGTTTGGGGTTTGGGGTTTAGGGTTTAGGGTCTAGGGTCTAGGGTTTAGGGTTTAGGGTTTAGGGTTTATGTTTTTAGGGTTTTGGTTTCTAGAGCTTAGGGTTTAGGGTTCTATGGCTTCGTTTTCTAGAGCTTAAGGTTGAGGATGCCACGGTCGAGTATTTAGGGCTTGTGGTGCTTGGGGTTCAGAGCTCGGGGTGGACGCTTTAGAGTTTTGGGGTTCGGGCTACGGTTTCGCGTTCAGGGATTGAACACAAAACCCCTAAACCCGAGAGAACCCTAGACCCAGAAACCCTAAACCTAACCCTCAAACCCCGAAAATGCTCCAACCCTTGGGGAAGAAACCCAGATCTTCCAAAACCCCTTGATTAAGGAACATACACCAAGTTTTACTGAGGATCCTGATTATGCGATTCCTCAATAAAGGGGGTTTGGAAGATCTGGGAAAGTTTACGTCCAAATTCCCTAAACCCTAAACCCTAAACCCTAAACCCGAAACCCTAAACCCTAAACCCTAAACCCTAAACCCTAAACCCTAAACCCTAAACCTTCAGGGTTCGGAGCTTGGAGCGTCGACTTTCTGGCTTTGAGACTCTGGGGTTCGCCCCCCCCCCCCCCCCCCTCCCACTCGGGACAACAAGGGTTTAAGTTGTATAGGGTTTAAGGTTTAGGGTTTAGGGTTTAGGGTTTAGGGTTTAGGGAGTAGGGTTTTGGATTGAGGGCTGAGGGTTGAGAGTTTAGGCTTCATCGCCCCAGGCACCGCTTGCTCAGCCGTTCTTCCATCTCTTTGAGCTCCACTTCAGACCTGGATCTACCAGTAGAAGGAGGTGCAGTTCAGGGTGTAGGGTGTAGGGCTTAGGGTGAAACCCTAAACCCGAACCCTAAACCCTAAACCCTAACCCTAAACCCTAAACCCCAAACCCCCCTAGGGTTTAGGGTGATAAAGCCCATCTCATGAACTTATCCAGCCTCAACCCGCGACCTCCAGCCCTAAGGGTGGATAGAGAAAAACCAGAAAACAAACTAACAATTAAAGGGTTTAGGGTTTAGGGTTTAGGGTTTAGGGTTTAGGGTTTAGGGTTTAGGGTTTGGGGTGCACCAGCAACCTACCGAGGAAGTCTACTACAACCTACTTAGAGGACTTCAGGGGCTTGTAAGTACGTTACCAAGTCCACCGCAAAACCCTGGGCTCTTACACTCCTGAAGCCGTGAACCCTGAAAACTCGAGCCAAAACCCCCCCAAAAAAACTAAGCCGAGCTTAAACCACTGAACCCCACTCTCAGCCCTGTCCCTTAAAGGTCTTGGGGTTCAAATGAACCCTGAGACCTTGAACCCCTAAACAAGCCGACCTAAACCCCTTAATTAAGGAAGATACCCTAAGTTATACTAAGGATGCTTAGTACAAAATTCGGGGTGTATTCCCCGAAGAAGGCGTTTTGCAAGATCTGGGTAAACCCCTTAAGGTAAACCCAAACCTAAACCCTGAACCCTAAATCCTAGACCTTGAACCCAAAACAAACCTAAACCTCAACCCCGGGCCACAAACCCTAAGCCCTAAACCCTAAGCCCTAAACCCTAAACCCTCGACCTTGAACCCAAACACAACCCTAAACCTAAACCCCCAAAACCCTAAGATCCTTGGGCGTTGGTGCCGATCTATGTCGGGCGGCGGGAGCGCGGAGAGGCGCTCGTGGATTACCTGAGGTGGGCCCACTCTAAAACCTAACCCCTCATCCCTAAACCCTAACGCGTACACCCTAAAATAGAAACCTTAACCCTAAACCCTAAACCCTAAACCCTAAACCCTGAACCCTAAACCCTAAACCCTAAACCCTCAACCCTGAACCCTAAACCCTAAACCGTCCCCGTTTCTGTTGCCTAGATATGTGTGGGGTTCTCCAAATTGCGCGCTCCGATTTATATTGCGGCACAAGTACCTTATCTATACCCTTTTCGAACCTCTAAATCGTGGTCCCTTCTGAAGCTTCTACACTATTCTAAAAAGCTACAAGTACCTTATCTTTATGTAGGGTACCCCAAAAAAGGGCCCATAGTTCAGAGAACCCCCCAATGTGGAGGAGGCCTAAAGAAGTCAGAAAAGGCATGCAAAAAGGTGGCGCCGAGGAAGTCTCTAGCCTGTAAACCCGGAACCCTCCGTCGGGCCTGTACTCCATTCCATCCGCGCCGGGGGGAGCAAAGGAGCGGGTTTGGGGGACGCTAAACCCTATAATCCCTAAACCCTAAACCCTATAAACCCTAAACCCTAAACCCTAAGCCCTAAACCCTAAACCCTAAACCCTAAACCCTAAACCCTAAACCTACAGAGACGGAGGCTGGGGTTCCTCAGCCGAGGTGTACTTTCACGCGTTTTTTCGCTCGAGGACCGAAGTCCAAGCAAGGGTTTAGGGTTTAAGGATTAAGGTTTAGGGTCTAGGGCTTAGGGTTTAGGATTCAGGGCTTAGGGTTTATAGGGCTTCGGGCGTAGGGTATAGTAAGGACCCCCCACCAAAATCGGAAACACTGAGCCCTAAACACATATTCTCAAAACTTCAAAACCTCAACCTCTGTTGCAAGTTCCTCCAATCTGAAGCGCATGAAAATCCCGATCGGGAAACTTGCCAGTTGTTGACGAACTCAAAGGAATCAGATACCTTGTGCATCCCCGAAAGAAAGCGGCTGGGGTATTATCCTGAAACCGTTTATAAACTCAAAACCCAAAAAAACGGGGAACCCTAGCCCCTAAACCCCCTGATTCCCGAACCCCCTCTAAAACTTAGGGGCTGGATACCCTAGCTCAAAAAGGTTAACCTCTTTTTATATAGTAGGATTCTATGCAACCAAAAAAGGTTAAAGGTTGCCTACCTAGCCCCTAAGAAAAAAAGCTCGTACGTAAGTAAACCCTAAACCCCAAACCCTGAACCCTGAACCCTAAACCCTAAACCCTAAACCCTAAACCCTAAACTCGTAAGTAAATCCCAGGGGGCGGGTCGTATCTTGCCCAGCTGGACATCCAGGCCTCAGCTGCTTGGGGTTTAGGGTTTAGGGTTTAGGGTTTAGGGTTTAGGGTTTAGGGTTTAGGGTTTAGGGTTTAGGGTTTAAGGTTTAGGGGTTTACGGTTTAGGGGTTTAGGGGTTTTAGGGGTTCAGGGTTTAGGGGTTTAGCGGTTCAGGGTTTTAGGGGTTTAGGGGTTTAGGGTTTTAATTCCTAAGGGGTTGGGGTTTAGGGCTTTCCGGGCATTTTGGGTTCATGGGGTTTATCGAGCTTATAGGGTTCACAGGGTTTATAGGTTTCAGAGGGGTTGTAGGGTGTTTATGAGGTTTACAGGGTTTAACGGGCTTCAGAGGGTTTATAGGGTGTTTATTGGGAGGGACTTAGGAATGTAGGGATTGAGGGTCTTTAGGGTTCATGGGTTTAGGGCTTTTAGGGTCTTGGCGCCCTAAGGCCTTGAAGGGATTGAGGGTTTGGGGTTTAGGGTTTAGGGTTGAGGATTTTGAGCTCCAGAGTTTAGGGTTTTAGGGTTTCGTCATTCAGGAAGTTTAGGGTTCAATGTGCACCGCAACTACAACCTGACTTTACCGGCTACAGCGTTCGGCGGGCTGCGACTCGGTGAAGCCCCAAACCCTAAACCCTAAACCCAAAACCCAAAACCCTAAACCCCAAACCCTCAACCCCAAACCCTAAACCTAACCCAAAAATCACAGCCTGTCCATGGCCCTCTGCAAAGGAGACTTATCTTGCTCGTAGCACTCCTAGTCCTACACACTATCACTACACTGGGGTGGGTTTGGGGGCCTACAAAAATCCTCTGGGTCAGTGGGCTATTCAGGGTCTCAGGGTTTTGTCCTCCGTAAAAAACTGACGCCGCAATCTCACCAGCAATAGGCTCCGCGAAGCTTTCTGGGACATGGTCTTTGCGCCCCGCTCTGCTTGCATCCGTCCATTGTCGACGAGACTGAAGTGGGTTGTGCTCCCCCCGACCAAGGGTGGCACTCCCCCCAACGAGGGCATAGTGGAGCAGGCCAAAGGCACCCTAAACCCTAAGCCGTGGCTCCGGCGGCCTCCGGCGGCATGCCTTCAACAGAAGCCTCAACCAGCCGACCTGGTGGGAAGTTCAGGGCATCCGAAACCCTAAACCCTAAACCGTAAACCCTAAACCCTAAACCCTCAAACCCTAAACCTGAACACTAACAGAAGGATTATTGGGACGGCTTAACATAAGTTCTAACTTTTTACTTGCTACTATTACTACTACCACCACCACCAACGCCCCCACCACCACCGCCGCCGCCACCACCACCACCACCACCACCACCACTATATACTACCACTACTACCACGACTAGCACTACTACCACTGCCCCCACTACTGCCACTACTACCACTACCAACAGCCACGTCCATTCCTCCAACATATACACGTACATAATGTTTAGAGTTCGGCATTGGGGTATATTGGGCCCTCCAAAACAACCCCCAAACCGACCCTAAACCCTCAACTCTCAACCCTCAAAAGAGTATCCTAAACCCTAGACCCTAAACCCTAAACCACCCTAATGGCCTCTGGGAGCGAATTGAGGCAAGAGTCTCTGCATCTGCTCCGCAATCGCATGCACCTTCCCCGCCCCCCCTGCACCCACTTCGGGCTTTTTGGGATTTGGGGTTGAGAGCTTTAGGCCCCAAAGCCTAAACCCTAAACCCCAAACCCTTAGGGTTTGAGGTTGAGGGTTTACGTTTGGTGTTTCAGCTTCGGCCTGTTTGGGAATTCGGGTTTAGGGTAAAGGGCCCAGAGTTCGGGGATTTCGGGTTTAGGGTTTTGGGGTTTTTAGGGTTTAGGGTTTGGGGTTTTAAGGTTGCGGACGATAGGTTTCAGGGTTCATGGTTTCAGGTTTTGGGGTTTAGGGCTCGAAGTCATGAACGTCCACCTAGATCCCTAAAGTAGCCAGGATCCGTACGCCGATGCCGGTATCTGGTTGTGGTTCAGGGTTTGGGGTTTCAAGTAGGGTTTAGGGTTTAGGGTTTAGGGTTAGGGTTTAGGGTTTAGGGTTTAGGGTTTAGGGTTTAGGGTTTAGGGTTTAGGGTAAATACATATTGCATTATTTGAGGGTTCGGGTAAAGTGGGCGCCAAAAGACCTTGATAAGGGAATCAACAAGCCAACAAGGGAAAGAGAGTTCCAGCGACCTTCCTAGAAGACCCAGTCCAAGCCACCAACACCCCAACAACGGCTTTTGCTGGCTTCTCGGCAATTTAAACGGCAAGTACACGGGCCCAAATTCCTTACCAACAACCTGTAGCCGCGTGTTCATCCCTACACGGCCAAGAACAACTGGCCCAAAACACCCAATAGCTGGGTTGGCCTTAAACGCCAAGATATCAGTACTTATAAACCCATATGCGGAAGATCGAAGAATATCCAAACCCTAATTAAACCCTGAACCCTGAACCCTAAACCCTAAACCCTAAGGCCTATAACCCTAAAGGTCAACCCAGATAGGATGAAACACAACAGCCTACAAGGCGAAAGTGCGGCGAAAGATCTCAACCATGAACATGGGGCCGCCTTGGGGTTTAGGGGTGGTTTAGGGTTTAGGGTTTAGGGTTTAGGGTTTAGGGAGGTCTGTTTATACCGAGCAACCAAATTCACGGTTTAATATGGCGGCTGCCGCCTTCCGCAGCGGCACCGCCACGGTACGCTGCACTTCGTCCACGCGCTTCTGGATGATGCTGGACCTCTGCGAACCCAAACCCCATGATCCAAGAATATGGGGTTTAGGGTTTAGGGTTTAGGGTTGAGGGTTGAGGGTTTAGGAGTTCAGGTTTTGTGTGTGTGGTTTAGCGTTTAGGACGATGCTGGACCTCTGCTTTTCTTAGGGTAGTGTCATGGTCCCTTATCATAGGATTTATAGGGTTTGCAGGGTTTACAGAATTTATAGGGTTTATAATTATAGGGTTTATAGGGCTCGTAGGGTTTAGGGTTTAGGGTTTAGGGACATGGTAGTATGGACCCTGAACAGGGTACCCCTTACATACCCTTGCATACCCTATACAAATCGGGTGGCCAGACTTCAGGACCCTTCAAAGAAGTATAGGGACCATATTAAGGGCCCATGAAACTACCCTAAGAGCTTTCCGAACCCCACGATCCTAGAACCATCGGTTGATCTAACCCTGCAAGAAGGGGCCCCCTTTCTATGAAAAACTATAGTTACGAGACTGCGAACCCAAGTTATACCCCCTACTTTGGAGTAGACCCTGGGAAAAAAGTATGTACTTGTTAAGGGTATAACTAGCTATAGTAGGAACCCAGAACCACAAAAAGTATTGAAGAATAGTACTCCAAAACCAAGTAAGAGGATCCTTTTAACCCAATTTAAGATCCTTACAACTCTTTGTAGAACTAGGGGGGTTGCCCCTCCTTGTATACGGCCCTCAGGTAACCCTAAACCCTAAACCCTATATCTCCCTTTGCCCAAGGCCAGGGCCCAGTAGAAGGCAAGAGACCTCAACAGACTCTTAAAAAGCCGACCGAAACCCCTTAAAGCTAAACCCTGAAAAGCCCCAAACCCTAACCGCCAATACCATAAACCCTAAAACTAAACTCTAAACTTCCCTAAACCCTAAACCCTAAAAACCCTAAAACCCTAACCCCTGAAAAAAAAAAAAAAAAAAAAAAAAACCTTCAGCCTTTCACCTTCCATCCAGGGTGCACCGTGCTCTCCAGCACTTTGAGGTCTCCAGCCAGCCGCTCCTGCTTGTGAAGACCAAGGTTTCGGGCTTCTGTACATGGCGTGTTGGGCTGTTCAGGGTTCAGGGTTCAGGGTTCAGGGTTCAGGGTTCAGGTTTCAGGGTTTAGGGTTTAGGGTTTAGGGTTCAGGGTTTAGGGCTTAGGGTTGGAAAGTATAGGGTTTTACATGGCAATTAGGTTTAGGGTTTTGTTGACAGTTAGTGTCTTGAATCTATCCTCATACAGCTTGGGGAAGCTTTTCAACAACAGTCGTGGATGTGTTCCTTGTCTGTGTGGGCGCGTTCCGTCGGGGTTTTGCAGATTCTGATCCACCTGACTTGGGGTAGGGTTTGGCCGTTCGATGGTCCAGGGTCACCCCTAAACCCTCAAACCTTCGAGGGTTTGGGGTTAGGACTAGGGCTTCGGACTGGGGTTTAGGGTTGAGGGTTCAGGGTCGAGTTCTCAGGGATTCTTGATAGCGAGTTCGGATACCGTGTCTCCCCTATGTACCCCCTACGTAAAAAATCAGGGGACCAATCTGGCTTCTACACAATCGGGTCATAAGTAGGGTTTAAGGTTGGAGCTGTTGGCAAGTAGCTTCTAAGGTAGGAATAAATTATAAGCACCAATCAGGGCCTGTTTTGAGGCACGTAGAGAACGGCTTAAGAACCTCAATGCTTGCTTGCAATCGTCTCTTATGCCTAAATCATTTCAGGGCTCTTCTTTCGCCCCTTTTTTGGGTACCCAATGGATAGGCCTGAATGATTCTAGCTACCAATTGCTTAAGAACCCCCAAAAAATATAAAATATTCTTCCTTATAAGGGTAAAATAGGGAGTATTGTCTTTTGTTGTTTTGGGAGTTCTTAAGCAAATGGTAGCTAGGTACCCAGAGCTCGAGACCCAATTTAGGAACCTCCAGCTTGTGGATATGCAAGTGCTTTTGCTGCAAGACTGGCGCGCAGGCACATGCTTTTCCAAATTATTCACGTCACTCTACCAGATCTACCATATTGGTATTTCCCAAAATAGGGGCACCCCTTTTACTTATGCCCCAAAAGAGAATTGAACCCCCTTTAAGGGACCCACCAAGAGGGCACCCCCTATTTTCGGAAACCCCCACATCACATCACTCTACCAGGTCTACCACATTGATTTGCCTGCCTTCCTTGGGGACGAAATGAACCCTAAAGGGGTTTATGGTTCACATACCTTAATATGAACCCTAAGGCTCCAAATAGCCCAAAGTAGGAATTATTTACAGACTTTAGACGCCAATGTAGGTGTTATTTGTGTACTCGGAGCCCTAGGGGAATTATGGTAGTATAGGGTATATGACCCCCAATTTAAGGGTTCAATTGGTCCCCAAGGGTTGCTTCGGCCTCCATCAGCGAGTTCACGACCCTGACATGGCCTCTAAAGCGGAAAGCCCGCATGAGAGCCGCTTCATGTCGCCAGCATCTCACTGCAAGCGAGCCACCGGAACTTGGCCTGAACCCTAAACTCTAAACCCTAAACTCTAAACCCTAAACCCTGAACCCTAAACCGTAAACCTAAACCCTAAATCCGGAACCCTCTAAACCCGAAACCCTACCAATGGAGCTTGTCGACCCTGTAGCCGCACCGGCTCCCAAAAGCAAGTGCGCGATCTCCATGTGGCCACACTCAGACGCCTGAAAGAGCGCTGTTCTTCCCTGCAGGTCAGCCGTGTCCTTAGCGGCACCGGCTTCGAGTAGCAGACGCGCGACCTCAGTGTGGCCGCTGCAACATGCATGCATCAGCGCTGTTTGGCCATCACTGTCCCCAACATCCGTTGCTGCGCTGGCTTCCAGTAGCAGGCGCACGATCTCCGCGTGTCCGTGCAAGGATGCACAGATCAGGGCCGTCTTGCCGTACACGTCGACCCAGTCCCTGGCCGCCCCGGCTTCCAAGAGAAGGTGGACGACCCCAGCAAGACCATTGCAAGATGCCTGAGCAAGACCTGTCTGGCCCCAGCGATTTACGGCGTCAATATCTGCTCCGGCTTCTAGCAGAAGCTTGGCAACTTCAATGTGCCCACGTGAGGATGCCAGAATTTGGGCAGTTTCACCATTCGGGTCCCTCGACTCCGTGGCAGCACGGGCGTCTAGCAGCAACCGCACAACATCAACCCTGCCGCAGACAGATGCCTGAATGAGTGCCGTGTTGCCCCGGTGGAACAAGTCGGTAGCCGCTCCAGCCTGCAACAGCAGGCGCACCACCTCCACATTGCCATGCGCAGACGCCGCATTCAGAGCTCTGGCGCCACTCTGGTCCGCCAAGTCCTTGGCCGAACCTTCCAGCAGCAAGCGCACCACCTCGGCATGGTCGTGAAACGAGGCCCAGCTGAGTGCGGTGTTGCCGTGCAAATCCGCCAAGTCCATATCTGCACCAGCTTCCAGCAGCATGCGTGCAATCCGGGCGTGGCCTCGGCATGATGCCTGAATAAGGGCGGTTTGGCCATAGAGGTCGGCCAAGTTCGCATTCGCCTCTGCTTCGAGCAGGAGCTGCACGACCTCATGATGTCCAGCAAAGGATGCCGACATGAGAGGCGTCCGATTGAAGAGGTAGAGGAAGTTCTTGTCAGCTCCGGCCCGTACCAGCAACCGCACAGCCTCAGTCTCCCCATTCTTGGCAGTTTCGTGCAACTCATGCGCCGCCTCAGTGCCGGCTTCAGTTCCCGGCACCAGGGATGACAGGATCAGCTGAATGTCCATGGGCACATCGACCTTCTCAGCATCTCCCAAGCGCCTGCCACAATGCCTAGGTTGCCCAGGAACCGAGGATGAAAAAAAGGGGTTTAGGGTTTAGGGTTTAGGGTTTAGGGTTTAGGGTTTAGGGTTTAGGGTTTAGGGTTTTGCTTAAAGGGGCTTATAAGGGAACCTAAACCTACCAAAAAAAGGGGAATAAGGGCACTACTGGGCATCCTAGGGTGCAAGAGTTGCTGAAGGCAGACAGGGATTCCATTCTGCCTGCGCAGCTGCTGCTTCAGGGCACCGACGTCCTCCAAGGGTTTAGGGTTTAGGGTTTAGGGTTTAGGGTTTAGGGTTTAGGGTTTAGGGTTTAGGGTTTAGGGCAGCTCCACCACGGGAATGGCGGCCAGCTCGTCTCCGGAAACCCTCCAGACGTGGATCATCTCGAGCCCAAACTGGCAAGCTGCTGTTGCCTATACCTGGATGATCAAAGGTAGTTGTATGAGAGCTTTCGAATATAAGGGGTACCGTTTTCGGGGGTCCATTCTAATTTTGGGAAATGCCCATATAAGTAGGGTAGCCTGAACCCTAAGCCCTAAACTCTCTCCGCAGCCCAACATTTGACTACCCAGGAACCTCCAAACCCTAAACCCTAAACCCTAAACCCTAAACCCTAAACCCTAAACCCTAAACCCTAAACCCTAAACCCTAAACCCTAAACCCTGAACAATTATTCACACGGAGAATACGGCAAGCGACTGGGCTTCCCTGCCTCGCTCTTTGGGACTTCAGGGTTCGGGTTCCTGGGGTTTAGGGTTTAGGGTTTAGGGTTTAGGGTTTAGGGCTTAGGGTTTAGGGTTTAGGGTTTAGGATTTCAGGGTTCCTAGGGTTTAGGGGTTTGTTTCGGGTTGTGATGACTGAACAGAAAAGCATGCTTGTGCATCACTCTGAGCCTTGTACGTAAGAAGAGTAACCTTCCAGGATAGCGTGTTCAAGTCCAGATTCAGATGACCCTTCTTGGGGCCACTTGGGTATAGAGGGGGTATACAGCCTGGGTCTTCTCATCCGTGCCCTAATTACACGGTAAGCCCTGAAACCCCAAACCCTGATCCCCGAACCCCAGACCCCTAAACCCCCAAACCCCTATATAACCCCTAAACCCTAAACCCTAAACCCTAAACCCTAAACCCTATACCCTAAACCCTAAACCCTAAACCCTAAACCCTAAACCCTAAACCCTAAACCCTAAACCCGGGCGTCGGTTCTGAGGGCTCCAAAGCACCCCGGACATGCCGAGAGCCCCTCCCGGCCTGCAGCTTCACCAAGCTCTTGGCCCGGAGGGGCTCATTGATCCACCTGATGTTCTCCCCCCCGTTGCACAAAACACAATGAAAAATAATTGGAAACCACAACGTCAAGAAGAGAGAATTAAAAGATATATAAGTATCACAATTACATGTACATATATGTATTGGTTGTTGGTTTATCTTTCCTTTCTCATTGTGATTCTTACTATTCATATTGTTTCTATCATTATGATCATCATTATTAACATTTCTAGTCTTCTGGTTCGTACTGTTTTACTAGTATTGTATCTTTGCTATTCTGATGTTGCTTTTTTGGGTGGGGGGGGGGGGGGTCAGGTTAGGGGTCTGGGGTTTAACGTCTAGGGGTCTAGGGATCGGGGTTTACGGTGGGGCGGGGTGAGGGTTTGGGGTTTAGGCTCTAAGGTTGGGAGTTTAGGGTTTGGGGCTTGGGGCTTTTAGGGCAGCACGATTGCTAAACCAGGTGTCCCGTTGAAGCTATGTAGGGGCCATTGCTTTTGGGGGAGAGGACAAGTGCAGATCCTGAAGCCTTTGAGGGTCTGGGGTTCAGGGCTTGGTGTTGGTGTTTCGGGTTTGGGGCTTAGGGTTGGTGGCTGAAGATACCCGCAAAAAACACAACCAGTCGTATGAGTGGCCGAAGTCTCTCCAATTCATCAGACATGAAGCGCCGCCCACTGTGCTTTGGGTTGAGGGTTTAGAGTAGATAGGGTTTAGGGCAGGTAATGCTTGAGGGCTTAGGGTACACTCCCTTCGCTTAAGCCTCAAACCTGAGACCAACACTCCAGCCGAACTTAACACTCCCGCCTAAAGCCATTCATGAACTCGTCGATGGTGATGGTGCCACCTTCCCCCCAAAAATGCGCGAAAAGCTGGATCTAAGGGAAAGCTCTACAGTTTTAGGGCTTCGGGTTTTAGAGTTTTGGGTCCAGAGACACAGGGTGTGGGGTGAAGGGGTCACGTGCCTTTGTCGTGGTCAATCCAGTCGAAGAGGTCGATCAAGTCCTGGACCTCTGCAAAGATTTGCTTCTCCAGCGTTTAGGGGTTACAGATAAGGTTAGGGTTTAGGGTTTAGGGTCTAGGGTCCAGACGGTCTAGGGTTTAGAATTTAGGGTTTAGGGTTTAGGGTTTATAGGGTTTAGGGTTTAGGGTTTGGGGTACAGGGCTGCAGACCGGCAGTTCCCGGGTAGGGTACACGTCTGAAGCATTTGAAGGGGACGTATGAAGGCCACGAAGGCTCCAAGGCCCAGACTTTTGGGGCAAACTTGGGCCCAAACATACCCACAGACTCGAGTTGGACGTAGTTAAGGAATATGAATCTCCCAAAATAGTATAATCCTTGTTATAGGAACCCCCCAAAAAGGTGCCCCCATTTTCGGAAACCCCCATATCCCCCTACCGGGAACCTTTCGCTTCGTCAGACACTGGACAACAGATCTGACTTCAGAGCGAAGACACGACCACCCCTACTTGTGAGGGCTATACGTGGAGTATTGGCATAGGATTGAGGCACAATTGAAAGCCCCCCAAAAATCCGAAAGCCCCTACAAGGAGGGGACCCCTTTCTATGCTAAATATAGCTAAGAGACTTATAACCTAAGTTAGGCTCCTTATCACCCAATTTGGGGGTCTTATAACTCTAATTAGACCCTCTTGTAAGCGCTTGACTTCGAGCGAATGCCATGAGCTCTTTTCACAAGGCATCATCCCCCTAGATAACACAAATCCTCCCAAAACCTCACAAGGGGGCCCTTCAACAAATCCTTCCCAAAACCACACTAGGGCCCTTCATGGTGGCCCTAAACCCTAAACCCTAAACCCTAAACCCTAAACCCTAAACCCTAAACCCTGATCCCTGCATGGTTGGAGCCTGCCTTCATCCGCGTGTTCTTCGTGATCTTCTTGACCAGCTCGGGGGACTTCAGCATGCCTGGAGAAGGGGTTTAGGGTTTAGGGTTTAAGGTTTAGGGTTTAGGTTTAGGGTTGAGGGTTTAAGGTTTAGGGTTTAGGCTTTACGGTTTGTTTAGGGTTCAGGGTTGAGGGTTCAGGGTTCAGGGTTCAGGGATCCGGGCTCAGGGCTCAGGGCTCAGGGCTCAGGGGTCAGGGTTCAGGGTTCAGGGTTTAGGGTTTAGGGTTTAGGGTTTAGGTTTAGGATTGAGGGTTTAGGCTTTTAGGGTTTAGGGTTACCCTCTTGTGCTCCTTTCCCCACCCCCCGAACTTCATATGAGGATTCCCCTTATATATATATATATATATATGTATATAATAACATTAGCATTGCTTGCCTCAAGAATCGTGCAGAATTGGTTCGTATATACTGAATCAGATCCGACTAATTTCGGAAACAGGCTTTACATCTAAAGAAACTGTGAGTCATGAAAAAGTTATGTTTTGTGATTCTGAAAATTAGAAAAATTTAGCACAACACATGTTAGTAAAATCTTTAAAATGTGACAAAATTGTTACAAACTTCTCACCCCGAAAGAGGTGGGAAGGGGATGGTTGGTTAGGGGTGTTAGGGTTTAGGGTTCAGGGTTTAAGGTTTAGCGTTTAGGGGGGCTACAACAAGGGCTCTTGGGATTTAGGGCTTAGGTCAATGCCAACCCTCACGCCCTCAGATGCCGACCTTTCAGTGTCATTAGGCTGGCGTTTCGCGTTTGGGGTTTACAGGGTTTGGGGCTTGGGTTTTAGGGTATATCAGGCTTCAACAACGCCTAAACCAGGCAAAGCCAAAGCTCGAGTGGCACACAAGGGGCCACTGAAACCTAAACCCTAAACCCTAAACCCCAAAACCCCTGAACCCTAAACCGCACACTCACCACCCAGGTGGCCTTCAAACTCTTGTCGGGAGACGATGCCGTTGTTGTCAACATCTGCCTTCCAAAGACTTTGTTTTGTTGTTTGTTGCTTTTTTTTTTTTTTGGGGGGGGGGGAGGGAGCTTTTAGGGTTTCAGGGCTTTAGGGTTTAGGATTGCAGGGTTTTAGGGCTTAGGGTTTCAGAGTTTTAGAGTTTTAGGGTTTAGGGTTGGTTGGTTTAGGGCTCGGGCTGATAGGTCTTTTGGCTAAAGGTGCTTGAGGATGCTTTTGCAGGCTTTAGGGAACAAAACAAAATCATGTGAACAAACTCAATACAAAATAGCCACGTATTGAGCAGTGTTGAACAAGGATGCTGATGAACGATCAGATTGAACAAAAGAAGTACCCCCCCTCACCCTAAACCCTAAAACCTAAACCCCTAAACCCTAAACTTTACCCTAAGCCCCTAAGCCCCTAAACCCCTAAACCCCTAAACCCCTAAACCCCTGAACCCCTGAACCCCTGAACCCCTAAACCCCTAAACCCCTAAACCCCCTAAACCCCTAAACCCAAGCCGCAGGGGCCCCTCCGTGCCTCCCGAAAGAGCTCCATGAGGACCTTCGTGATCATGGACTTCCTCTTCTCCTTCAGGGTTTAGGGTTTAGGGTTTAGGGTTTAGGGTTTAGGGTTTGTGGGTTTGGGGTTTAGGGTTTAGGGTTTAGGGCTAGAGTTTAGGGTTTAGGGCTTAGTCGGTATGAAGTTCAGGGAGTTGGCCGATAGGGCCTGTAGGGAATGAAATTTAGGGAGGGTGATGTTGGGCCGAGGGACAGACGGCTCTCAGATGAGGGTTTAGGGTTTAGGGTTTAGGGTTTAGGGCTTGGGGTTTAGGGTTTCGGGTTTAGGGTTTAGGGAGGACTTAGGGCATTCTCCTGCGGGCTGTACAGGCCTACTTGACATCGCATGGGAATGCACAGGGAAAGTTACACAGAAGCACCAAGCAATCCTCAACCACAAAAGAAAAAGGCGGAGCGTGCCATCCCCAAGCCTTACGAAATCCGAGTTTTTCCCGCGCCTCCCGCTGCTCGTCTTCCTTCTGCATCTGATCGCGGATGGCGATCATGTTTTCACTCACCACGCCTCTTGCAGAGCCCTAAGGGTCCATGTACCTAAATAGGGAATGCTTGGGCCTTAAAGTACTTCCGATATAGGGACTTTGGGGCCCAATTATGCAATAATGAGGTACATGGACCCTTAGGGGAGGTTTCGGGAGTACACAAATATCACCTACATTGAGGTCTAAAGTCTGTAAATAATACCTACTTTGGGCTATTTGGAGCCTTAGGGTTTGGGGAGGCTGTACGGCAGCTTCGAATCGCGACTTGCACAAAATCCATATCGGCTCCAGCGGCTACTAGACGACCCAGGAGTAACTTGGAAAAAAAAAGGTTTGACTTTTCGGTTTGAAGGGGATTGTACGGGAAGTCCAATTCTAAAAAAGGAAATAAGGGCCTACAACGGGTCTTAGGCTATTTGTGTAGAGTTCCAGGTTCAAGTTCCGGGTCCTAAACCCTGAGCCCTAAGCCCTAAACCATAGGGGTAGAAGTCTTCAAAATGTCTTCAACCTCGGCGTTGGTGGGTTTCACAAGCGCCTTTCGACAGTGAGGCCCTTCGCCCCAATCTGAAAGTAGAGTTCTAAGCGGCAAAACTCGGTTTCTTATAGGTTCCATTAGTGACCCTAAACCCTAAACCCTGAACCCTGAAACCTAAACCCTAAAACGTCCCCCCTGCACTTTACTCGGTACAGTGAGGGGAGGGCCTCCCTATATGGCAAAAGGAAGCTTCCGGGCTGTGACAGGGTTTGAGAGCGCTTCGGCTTCTGGGACTTCTTACACCCCCCCCCCCCCCCCCCCCCCCCCCCCCCCGATCCCTTTTAGGGTTTGGGGTTTAGGCAGACGATGAACCCTATCCTACACCCGGAAAAGCCCTAAAGCCATCAACAACCCTGAACGCCAAACCCTAAACCCCAAACCCTGAACCCCAGACCCCAGACCCCAACCCCAAACCCCAAACCCCAAACCCCAAGCCCCAAACCCCAAACCCCAAACCCCAAACCCCAAACCCCAAACCCCAAACCCCAAACCCCAAACCCCAAACCCCAAACTAAACCCTAAACCTTAAACCCTAAACCCTGAACCCTAAACCCTAAACCCTAAACCCTAAACCCTGAACTAGCAAAAACCCCAAAACCATCAACAACCGCCTGTCATCACGGCCAGGAGCGCCCAGGCGGAGTAGATGTAGAACACCACGAAGAGCGGCTGCAGAATGGGCATCCTGAATTCTCCAGCTTGGGGTTTAGGGTTTAGGCTTTAGGGTTTAGGGTTTAGGGTTTAGGGTTAGGGCACACTCCTAAACCTTTTGGGGAGCAAATGACCCCCAAACATTGGGGTCATATACCCTCTACTACGATAATTCCTCTTAAGGCCTATGAACCATGAACCCGCCCGTTTAGGGTTCATTTGGTCCCGAGGACATTACAGCTACAGACAAATAGACATGGCATAACCCCAGGCCGTGCCATGTTCATGAAAGGTGTTTCTTGCTTCGCCACCGCCACCTGCTCCTACTTCCTCAAGACCAGAAATCCTTGTCACACGTGCCCGAAACCCCTAACCCCTAGAGCCCTCAGCCTTTATCGCCCAAACCCCCCAGCAAAAACCTTACGGCTTGAAGCCCATTGGGGTGGGGGGGGGGGGGGCGGGAGATGGGGGTGTAGTTAGGGCCCGGTCTATGAGAAGGAGCACAGGGCCTGTAAAACCCGAAGTGCAGAGCAAAACCACAGCACAAACTCTACATCAAGCCTAAGCCAGTCAGGGACTAAGCCACCAAATTCTGGCAACGGAAACCCAAAAGCCCAAGTCGCAAACCCTAAACCCAAAACCCTAAGCCCCAAGCCCTAAACCCTAAGCCCTAAGCCCTAAACCCTAAACCCCAAACCCTAACCCTGAAGCCAAGATGCTCTTCAAACAGCGGCACGAACTTCATCAAGCTCCAGCTGCTGACCTCGGGGGCTAGAGCCCTTCACGCCCCAAACCCTAAACCCTAAACCCTGAACCCTAAACCCCAAACCTGAACTCTAAACCCAAAACCCTGAACCCTAAACCCTAAACCCCTAACTCTAAACCCTAAACCCTAAACCCCTAAGCCTTAAGCCCCTAACCCTTTTGGGGTTTAGGGTTTAGGAGGGTTTAGGGTTCAAGCAGACTATTTGTAATAGGTTCCCTTATACGGGAAGACGGGAAAACTAACCCGAAGCACAACCCAGAGAAAAGACACAGTCGGTTCTGCAAATCATGGGCCCCTTCTTCTGCGGTTCCCTCAACATGAGGAGGCTGCAACATATCAGGGGTCCAAAAAAAATCCGGATTTGGGCCCACCAGCAAACTGACCCCCGAAAAAAAAAATAACAAAATGATTCCATGAGTAGTACTATCGCTGCCCCGAATTAGAAGTAATATAGCCCATATGAAAGTGTCGCTTTAGTCTACCTTGGTACAGTAGAAAGGAAAGCCAAACTGCAGAAGTTTGGACCCAAAACAGCCCTAAACTCGAAACCCCAAACCCTCAACCCTAAACCCAAAACCCCAAATGCCAAAATATGCCTGTGCATGTCGTGCGGCGGTACCGAAGAGGGTGAACATGCTGGTGCTCACAGAGCTGAACATGTCCTGGGGCTGAAGAGTGGTCGTGCTCCGTAGGGCTATATGCGAGCGGGGTACCTTATTGGCTCCCTATTCTGAGGGAATCCTACTATTTGGGGTCCATTTTCGGGATCCCCTATTTTCGTAAACCCCCATATAGGTGCCGTAATTTGGACTTACTTGGGAGGGGCAGAGAGGGGGGGTAGGGGGGTAAGTGGGGAACGGTGAGATAAATGCCCTAGACGAGGTTACAACTATATTTACCACACTTGAAACTCCACTTGTAACCCCCTTGCAAAGACAGCCCCCCAAACGATCCAAAATATCCCATTAATTAGGGGGGATACTTGAGATTCATGGGTAGTTATGAGTGGGGTTCTAAGTAGGGTAAATATAGTGATAACCTGGTTTAGGGCACCTATAGCCTGTATTCCGTACTTGTAACTACCCATGAACCTCCAGGTATTGGAGTCTCTGGAACTACATGCAGGACGTATCGAGCCTTGGGTTTCGTTGGCGGATGTGCAAACCCAGGCCTCAAACCTAAAGCCCTAACCCCGTGGGTTTAGGGTTTAGGGTTTAGGGTTTAGGGTTTAGGGTTTAGGGTTTAGGGTTTAGGGTTTAGGGTTTAGGGTTGAATATCTTGGCGCAAACGCTACAAGGGTTCGGGGTTTTTGGTTTAGGGAACCAAGTCAGAAGTGGCATTGGATACTTGTGCTGGGCTGTAAGCAGTAGAACTTGAGCTCTGCTTCATGTGTCGAGGGGCCCTCCCTGAAATTGCCACACTAAACCCTGGACTCAAAAACCCAAAACCCTCGAAGCCTAAATCCTTAAACGCCTAAACCCCTAAACCCCCTCAACGCCGAAACCCCTCAACCCCCTAAACGCCGAAACCCCTAAACCCCCTAAACGCCGAAACCCCTCAACCCCCTAAACGCCGAAACCCCTAAACCCCCTAAACGCCGAAACCCCTAAACCCCTAGACCCTAAAAACCTAAACCCCTAGGCCCAAAAACCTAAACCCCTGACCCTTAGACCCTAAACCCCTCAACCGCCAAACCCCCAGAACCTAAAGCCTTATGAAACCTTAAACCTAAACCCTAAAGCCCTAAAACCCTAAAACCCCCAACCCCTAAAAAACGGAACCCTAAACCCTGAACCCTGGACTCTAAACCCTAAACTCTTAACCCGTAAGCTCTCAAGCCCTAAACTCTCAACCCCTAAACTCGAAATCCCTAAACTCTCAACTCCAAAAACCTAAACCCTGAACCCGAAACTCTCACACCCTAGACACTCAACCTCTAAAACCTAAACCCTGAACCCTAAACTCTCAAACCCTAGACACTCAACCTCTAAAACTCTCAGACTCTAAAACCGAAACCCTGCACACTTCCGGTGGCCTTGATCTCCTGCATCTCCGGATCATCGTCGTTGGCAATGACTGTTCCATGCCCAATGAGCCGTGTGCAGAGGATGGCCACGGAATACCTAGGCTTTGGGGGTTTAGGGTTTAGGGTTTAGGGTTTAGGGTTTAGGGTTTAGGGCTTGGGGTTTAGGGTTTAGGGATTAGGGCCCGAGGTGATCAAAGGTTACTTACTCAGCACCGAAGACGCCAGCGCACAGAGACTTGTAAGGGAACTGAGGGACCTCGGGTGTGTTCTTTGAGGGACCAACTGTCTGACTGTATAGAGAACGAAACACCGAAGGTTCTGTTTAAGGATCCATTATTTCAGGCTACCCAATTCTCCCGATTCATGTAAGAACCAGAGAGCAAGACCCTAAACCCGAAACCCTGGACCCTAAACCCCAAACCCTAAACCCTAAAAAAACGAAGGCGTGTGGCAGGGTCAGAATCATGAAGACCAAGACCCAGAACATACCTGGCTGACAGGTCGAGAGATTGAGGGCTCCAGTTTTCAAAGAAAGCACCCAGGCTCAGGGATTTTGATTTAGGTGTTGAGGTTCGGTTAGGGTGTAGGGTTTCAGTTTTCAGGTTCAAGGGTTAGGGCTTAGGGTTTACGGTTTGGGCTTGTGCTGGTAGGGGATTGGGATTTTCAAAGTCGGTTCCATCTAGCGCCCGCTCTCAAAAGCACATGACCGGTACAGGCAAGAAAAAGAACATGCGGAGTCTTGTCTACATGATAGGCCCCCTGTTGAAGCCCTTGGTCGCTCAACCACCTATTGGGGCCCATGGATACGCGCAGCACCCCCTCCCACCAAGACCTTGCAACGCTTCCATGATGGACTGGGCCAGCTCATACAGCGGTCGGACAATCCTGGGAGGCTGAGGAACCCTGAACCCTAACCCTAAACCCTAAACCCTCTTGAGGTGGTGGAAACTTGAGACCCTCTTGAGGTGGTGGAAACTTGAGGGAGGGATCTTCGGAAGCTTCCTTTTTTCTTAAAGTATAGCGCTTCTCGTCATGGCACTTTCGGCACTTCGGGCCCTCCACTCCCAACACAGGAAGATGCAAGCTGACTTTCAAGCAAAGCATCGAATACCTACAAGGATTGCCCCCCCGCCCTAGTTAGAAGTAGCGTTGTGTGGACCCTAAACTGGGTTATAAAGATCCGAGCTTAGGTTTTATAGGTCCCTTAACTGTAGTTCAGGGACTTATACTTATATCCGAAGGTCGGTGCGAGAGGTAGGGAAGGTTTTGCGGGTCGCAAATGGAATTACGAGGCCGTGAGCTGGGCGATGATCGTTCCAACTTCAGCTACAACCCCCTTCCCTTTCTATCTCACGTGCACCGTAAACCCTACACCCTCCCCCTCCTTGTACTTTGGGGCTTGGAAGCTTGCGCTCAGGGCCCCTTAGCCGGAGCGCTTCACCAGCCGGAAAAGTCTGACGATGCGCAGCAGCCGCGCCATACCTTCGATGGGCGCTGCACAAGACGCCGCAACTTCTACTTTTGCAAACAGATTCAAAGAACAGGGTGTAATTATTAGGGTTTAAGTTAGGCCTATTAGTGTAGGGTTTAGGGCTTCAGGTTTAGGGCTAAGAGCTCATCTTGTTTGATGTTCTTCTTTTGGGGACTTGACGTTGATGGTTTTGGGGTTTTGCCGATCTACTAGGTGCCTTGTGGGTATACCTTCATACAAGGGGTTTAGGGTCTAGGATTCCCACAGGATCCATGTACCTATATGGTATATACTTGGGCCTTAAAGGGGTTCCTACATAGTGCTTTAGGGCCCAAGAATATACTATATAGGTACATGGATCCTTTGGGATTATTGTCACAAAGATTTTCGGCGTGCAAAATACCGCAAACTGCCCACGCAAGCCGGGGCAACGCTGACCCTGCATCGTGGCCTCTGGAAAAAACGAGGTGCAACAAATTTAGGTTTTAGGGTTTGGGGGAACCCTAAACCCTAAACCGTAAACCTTAAACCCTAAACCCTAAACCCTAAACCCCAAATCCTAAACCCAAACCTGCAGGGACCTTCGGCCCGAGGTGCGGAAGACCATGAACACGGAAGCCATTCCTGCCCGGCCGGGGGAGAAGGCAGGAGAAGCAACAGAGGTTCAGGCTTTCGTTGTCTAAACCCTAAACCCTAAACCCTAAACCCTAAACCCTAAACCCTAAACCCTAAAAATCCCTAAAGAGAGTAGCTTAGATAGACTTTGCGTGGGCGGGGCTGAGGTTCGCGCTGAGGGTTCAGGAGCACCTTCAAACTCGAGAGACCTCAGGGAGGCCCGCTCAGTGCTGTCAACTCGCACGTCGAGTTGAAAGTAATTAGAGGTACCCTTATTGGGGTCCTTATTATGTGGGAATCTTACGATTTGTGGGTTTATAGTAGGGTTCCCTGAAGACCCTAAACCCTAAACCCTAAACCCCCCAAATGTCCTTGTTTTCGCTGGCTTGCATCATGCTGCATCATCCAGTGAAGCACTGGCATGATCCACCTGAGCAGGCTGTTCAGGGCCTTGGGGGTTGTCAAACATACCCATACATCATGGGTTTAGGGTTTAGGGTTTAGGGTTCAGGGTTCAGGGTTCAGGGTTCAGGGTTCAGGGTTTAGGGTTTAGGGTTTAGGGTTTAGGGTTTAGGGTTTTAGGGTTTTAGGGTTTCGGGTTTAGCGCATCATGGGTTCCCTACTACCCCTCCCTCTTTTCTACCACCCTCCTGGGTTCCACCCATAACTACGGCTACTTGGGGATAATTAAGCCTACTTAAAGTTATTCCAGGGGGGAACCTAGGGGGGGGTAGTACAGAGGGGGGGTAGTAGGGAAAGCCATGAATACGGGACCTACACGCGCCCATCGATTAACCCCTGTTAGGAAAACAAGTGCTTCTTTGCGGGCTCCCTCCTCATCAACTGCAGAAGGACTCAAAGTGATAGCCGGGAATACCCGCGCAACTCTTGCACCCCGCAAGCCCTTAAACCCTGAACCCCAAATTATGTTCTCTGTTGGGGGCTTCTTAACTATAGCTAAGGGACTTACAATCTAACCTAGGGTCCTTATAACCCAATTGAGGGTCCTTATATCTCTCTACTTATAACTAGGGGGGGGCAACCCTAAACCCTAAACCCTAAACCTTAAACCCTAAACCCTAAACCCTAAACCCTAAACCCTAAACCTTAAACCCTACTTATAACTAGGGGGGACCCTCCTTGAAGCCGGACCAGGGGCTGATCTGCAACTCCGCTGGTGACGATGGAGAGGTCGAAGACGTTCCAACCCCACTCATCCTCCAATAGCTGAAGGTTTTAGGGTTTAGGGCTTGGGGTTTGGGTCCCCCCCCACCCCCCCCCCCGCCATCATCCTACAGCTTGCAGCCCTAAAGCCTAAACAACCCCAGAATTAATCTTGCAGGGGTCCAGGGTTTAGGGATTAACGATCGCAGGGGTTCAGGGTTTAGGGTGCAACAACCCCAGAATTTCACCGTGAAGGCCTGCGAGGCCCTAAACCCTCAGCCCTATAGACCTTAATCTCCAAAGAGCCCGAAGCCTTAAACCCTAGCGGCCTCAGCCCTGTTTGAACCCCAGTGAAAAGGCTCTTGTAGCTCTACTTATAACTGGGGGGGGGGGGGGGGCTACGCCCTCAATCCTAAGCTAAACCCCTCTAAATTTAAACCCCTGAAGTCCCCTAGACCCGAAATCCAGAGCTGCACTGCAGCTTAGGGCCTCTTCCTGCCTCTTAGTAGTAGGGAATTATGGAGAAGTCTGGAACCCTGTAAAGAGTCCCTTCAAGGGTAATTTAGGGGGCGGAGGGGCTTGGGGTTTAGGATCCTAGATTCCCGAACTTCTCGACTGGGAACGAATTAATTCAGGGCTTGGTTTTTAGGCTTTGTAATGCCCTCGGCTGCCCTATAACGGTGCCCATGATTTGAAGGGGCTTAGGGTTTAGGGTTTTGGGATTAAGGATCGCAACCATTAAGAAAGGGATTCAGGGCACGACCGGACATCCTAGCCCCTCACCCTCGCTTTGGAGTTTTGGTTGCAAAGGCTTCCACAGCATGTTCGGGTTGGAGGCTTAATTAGGGCCGCAACCGCTAAAGTAGGAGCCTAACAACTATAATCTTGATTGCAGGTGCGCCCAAACAGGTACCCCGATTTAGGAAACACCCGAATAAATACCCTGTAATATCGGACTACTTCGTCTTACGCTCGGTGAACCTTCATGTTTATCTTATTTCATGGTTGAAACAGAACCCCCCTTTCCCGGGAAAACATGAAACTAGGGTTTCGGGTTTAGGGTTCAGGGCTCAGGGTTAAGGGTTTCGGGTTTAGGGTTTAGGAACTTAAATGTCTATTCCTTATTGAGTTTAAGCATCCTTAAACATGAAAAATGATACCCCCACCATGACAAAGCATCGTTGTGGGCAGAAAAGCCGAGACACCAGTCCACATGTAAGTTCCAGGTCTGAGCCTAAGCCCTAAAACCTTAGTCCCCGAAACTCCGAAAGCTGCAACCCCTAGACCCGAAACCCCGAGATACAGAACCCAAACCCCCCCCCGCCCCCAAAAAAAAGAAAGAAAATTCCGAAACCCCAACACTTAACCTAATAGAGGAGGCTTAAGAAGAGGGCGTTGGGTGTTAGCAGAGTATAAATATACAGGGGCAACAAGGGAACACTATTCGTAATTATTCCGACCCCGGTGTATTAAACCCCAAGAATCCTAAACCCCTAAACCCTAAACCCTAAATGGAATCCCGTACCGCGCCTCCTGGCGGAAGAAATGGCAGCCATGGCCTCAGACAGAGGCGAATCACTGGGGTCTTCGGCTGCCACCACAAAGGACACACGACGCTGCAATAATCCGTATGGACTTTAGGGTTCGGGGGTTTAGGGTTTAGGGCTAGGGTTTAGGGTTTTGGGGGTTGGGGTCTGGGGGCTTCGGGCTTCTCCCCGCAAGGGGTTTAAGGGTTGATTTGTTGCAAAAGATGAATTTTTACAGAAAGCAGGAGCCCTGATAGGGCGGCATGTAGGGGCCTCAGTTGCCTAGGCTCCTGTTACCAAGCCCTCAACTTGTCAACCCCAAACCCTTACACCCTAAAGCCTTCACCCTAACATAAGACCCCATGACGGCGGACCCCATGCTTGTAAGGGATCCGATGACTAGACCCAAGAGTAACCTAGGAAGAAAAGGCTACGTACCCTTTTTGGTCTAAAAAGGGGATTATAAACCCTAAACCCCAAATGCCAAACCCCAACCCCAAACCCTAGTAAGAGAACCTAAACCATAAAAACGGGGGAATTTGGGCCCACTCTGGAACCCCAGATGATGGCAAGGGGCGCAAGAGCCGCACGATGAGCTCAAAGAGGAAGTAGGCGAGCAAAGCATGCCTAGGAGATTACAAGGAGGCCAACACCCCCCCCCCTAAACCCTAAACCCTAAACACTAAACCCCAAATTCTAAACCCTAAACCCTAAAACCTAAACCCTAAACCCATCCAAAGTTAGCAAGTAAGGCGAGAGGGGGGGGAGGGGGGGGCTCCTTGTAAAGCTGACTGGAGGGTTGAGGGTTTAGGGCTTATACCCCAAACTCGAACCCCTAAACCTTAAGCTTCGGCGCTTATCGGATTCTAGGCTTCTGGGGGCTTCTAGGACGTTTTATGAGCCCCAAAAAACATCCTGAACACCCCTTTCACAAAGAACACCCCCCCAAAAAACCGGCTTAGGGTTTAGGGTTTAGGGTTTTGTGCTTAGGGTTGATTAAGAGCGTACATTGTCTTAGGCAAGACCAGAGCCCTCGGCCTCTGATGCTTTGGAAGCCCTGCACAACTTCACAGGAACCCCCCCACGCAAATCCTTGGGTGTAGGCGTTTAGGGTTTTGGGGGCTTGAGGTTTGGGGGACACCCGAAACCCAGAGCTCAACGAAATTACGCCAACCATGCTGCTGCAACCTGCAACTCGGCTCGTGAATTCTCGCGGAGCTTGCTTGCCCGTGCCCGCTTGCGGGGGCATCATACTGTCATACTCTTCTCGGGTCCAAGTGTTCAACTTCGCCTGGCGCAGATAATTGATGCCACTATCCTTGTCGCTGAACTTGGTCTCGAAGGTGTTCGCGGCTTCGTCTGATGACGTGGCGCAACGCTGGTGATCTTCGAGGCAGCTGCGGATGCCAGTGTCGGTGTTGACGATGCTGCGATGCTTACTTGGCTGCACTTCGGAGGGTAGTAATAAATGAGTTTTTTCAGCTGACTTGGTATTAAACCCAAAAAGGCTAAGGATCTAAAGATGCAGTGAAGCACAACAAAGCTTGCAGATGTCAGGAGCATGCTCGTGTTTCAGCATCCAGTCGTCGCTCAGATGAACCCCTGAACTCTTTATGGTGGACGTCTAGGCTAAGCCTAAACCCTAAACCCCCGTCTGGTATATTTGCTGCCTAACGGTCTACCCAAGACCTTGAACAAAACCCAACACAAATCAAACAAAAACCCCGCTATAATTTACACCCCTTTCTCATCCCAACTGTAGTTGAGGGACTTAGAACCTAAAGATAGGATCCATTCAACCCAATAAGACTTCTAACTCTACTTCTAACTAGGGGGGGGCGCCTTGTAGGGTTTCTGAGGCTACCCAAAAGGCCTCGTGCCGCCTATGTTAGCTCAACGTTGGGGGTTTAGACTCGATCCAGAATAGGGCTTAGGGTTGTTAGTTGTGTTGGGTTCGGATTTCGGGTTTAGGGCGCGATATTGCTTGGGGCTCAGGTTTTGGGTTTGGCAGGGTTTGTGGTTTAGACCGGGGTTTAGACCCCATAACCCTAAAACCCCAACCGAAGCTCCATCTTTCCCAATGATGGCTTAATCTCGGGTGCCCTAGGGAAACAAAAGGCCCCAGGTGACAGGCACCAGGAGGCACCCTAGTTGAGGGAATCTGCCATATACTAGCATTTACTACCTAGCCCTCAACCCTGCTTCTTGAAGGTCATGACTACACCCTAAGCTATACTACTCGACTTCCTAAACCCTCAAGCCGAAGCCCGAAACCCTAAACCCTCAGTACCTACCATATGGATCCTGAGCCCCATAAACCGATGAGCCCTGCAAACCATATAAACCCTACAAGCCCCGAAGCCTTGAACCCCACCTGGGACCCCCTTTGCCTACAGTTCTATGCGCCATACCTGCTGGTTAAGGGCAGGTTCTAAGCCGTAGGTAAATCGAGTATCAGGAAAACCCTGAACCCTCAACCCTAAATCCTAAACCCTAAAACCCTAAACCCAAAACCCCAAAATCCTTCAGGCCTCAGTTTTCGTCCACAGGCAAGCGGCTCCACCCAGAACCAGATCCAACTCTCGAGGTCCGTCTCCAGGCCGATGACCTGGGGTCTCTTTGGGGTTGAGGGTTTCGGGTTCAGGGTTCAGGGTTTAGGGGTAATTCTTTGGGGTAGAGAATCGGGGTTTATGGGGTTTTGGGGGTGTAAAACCCTAAACCCTAAACCCTAAGCCCTAAGCCCTAAGCCCTAAACCCTAAACCCTAAACCCTAAACCCTAAACCCTAAAGGGTGTTACGGGTTTCAGAGTTTAGGGTTCAGGGCATCCCTGGGTTTGCGCCTCAAGCCTAACCCCCGAACCTCAAAAATTCGGGGGTTTGGGGCTTAGGGTTTAGGTTTTAGGGTTTAGGATTTAGGGTTCAGGGTTCAGGGTTTATTGGGGTAGAGAAGCTTAGGGTTTTGGCGGGTGGGCTGTGCTGAGGCCCTTCGACGAGGATTTAGGGTCTTGGTTGCAGGCAGGACGGTTCTTCCGCACAACCCGCTGGTACTTAGCAGTCAATGAGGCAAATTAGGGCCGCATATATACCCTTGGAGGGATTATATAGGGTACCTCATCCCCTCATTCCTTACTAAGAACCAGCCAGACAAAAGCTGCTTTTCAAAAAAACAACCCTACAAGGAGGGCCCCCCTTACTATACTAACTATACTTGCAGGGGACTGATAACATAAGTTAGAACAGTTAGGATCCTTATAGCCCAATTTCGGGTCCTTATAATTCTGCTTATCACTAGGGGCGCCCCTCCTTGTACTGAATGCTTTACGTCGCACAGAGAAGACAAGGACTCGTGCTCATTCAGCTTGTTCAGCTGCTCAAACTGGCTGCTTTCTCGATCATCACACATATTATGATGATGTCTCTAAATCATGGTCCCTTTTGGGGCCCATATTATAAGGCGCCCTCTTATTTAGGGTACCCAAAGAAGGAGCATGATATAGAGAACTGACCATATAGGAATGCCAGGAGCCACCTTGCCGTCGTGTATACTGATGCCCTCGATTCAAAATGGCTTTCAGGGAGCCTGTCAATAGTTGGCAAAGAGCTTGCTTAAGCATGGTAATTATCAAGTTCTGACGACCTGGATTCCTTTTGCACTCTGCCTCTATGCCAGTTCGGCTAGCTGGCCAAGGGTGTAAGGCGCAGGGTTCAGGGTTTAGGGACAAAAAGGGTCCAGGGTGTAGGGTTTAGGGGTAAACCCTAAACCCTTAACCCTTAACCCTTAACCCTACACCCTAAACCCTAAACCCTAAACCCTAAAACGGGCTCGGAGTTTAGGCTGTCTCTCCCGTCAGGTGACGACGGCATTGCACATGATGATGATGCCACTGGTGGCTTGGAACCTGAGTCATCCTAGACCCTGTGTCGCCCTAGGTTTAGGGTTTAGGGTTTAGGGTTTAGGGTTTAGGGTTTAGGGTTTAGGGTTTAGGGTTCAGGGTTCAGGGTTTAGGGAACTCTTCGGTGCCCTATATCGTCCCTTCAAGTAGGTACCCTATGTCATCGCTTAAGGGTATGTATGACATAATTAAGGTACTCCCTACGAAGAACTAGTAAGTATAGCCCTGAACCCCAAAACCCTATAGTGGCTCTGGAGGACGTGCCAATGTTGACAAGTCCCCGAAACTGAAACCGCCCGTGCGAACCCTCTAAAATCGGAACTCCGTGCTTATTACAAAGCGCAGGCCCTCAACCCTAACCCCTAAGCCCTAAACGGTTTCGGGTTTGGGGAAAGGTTCAGACGTTATGTCTCAGAGCTAAGGGGAAAATCAACCAAGAAAACGTGCCATATGGACACCATACATGATCCTTTCGTCGACCTTGGCATGTTCTGATCTTGGCTGACTTGCGAACCCTCCTAAAAGTTTAACTTTTAGGTCCCTTATTGTATAGTTTCTACAAAAACCCAAAAAGTTAATGTCCTAAGCCGGAAGAGAGCCAAGTGATGGTGGGGTTCAGGGTGTGGAGGGCTGCTTGGGGGTGTTTAGGCTTGCGGGGCGTAGCCATTTGCGGCTTCGGGGTTCAAGAGGGGTTCAACTTCGACCCTCCTTGGTGTTTAGGGTTTAGGGTTTAGGGTTTAGGGTTTAGGGTTTAGGGTTTAGGGTTTAGGGTTTAGGGTTTAGGGTTTAGGGTTTAGTGTTCCCTCAACCCGCAACCCGAAACCCTGAACCCTCATAGGGTTTTGGGGCTTCAAGGGTTCCGTAACCACCTGTAGCCCCAAAGTTACCAGGCTCCAACCTACAGGGCTTCGGGTTTTCCTTTTTGATTTTTTAGGGGTAGAATGAGGGACCCTTAGAAGGGACCCTTCATCTTATTCTGCTTACTGCGAGATCGGGGGCCTGAGTTCTGGAGTTTTGGGGGTTTCGGGGTTGTGGTTTTGGGGAGGACACAAGTGTGCCCAATGTGGCTTAGCGTCACTGATTCACCCCAACAAAGACTGGGCGAACCCTTAAACCTCTATGTCCCAAAACCCTACTAAACACTTTTTTAAGGCTTGATGGTTTAGGGTTCAGGTAACCCTGAACACCAGGAAGGTCTAATATTGGCGTCGGAACAATTACTCATAGCATTCCCTTATGGTCCCTTTGTAATTCTGCGAAACAACCCCCCAAAACCCTGTTCGAAACCCTAAACCCTAAACCCCAAACCCTGAACCCTAAACCCTAAACCCTAAACCAAGTTTGTGCGGAGAGCCAGTTTGACTCCACCCACTCTAGTGTGGTGTCCGTCTCCTCACGAGACTCCGCGAATCCGTGTCCTGACGAGGCTGGTCCGGAGCTGCGAGTTCAGGGTTTGGGGTTTAGGGTTTAGGGTTTGGGGTTTAGGGTTCGTTTCGTTTTTTTTTCCGTACTCTTTTTAGGCAAAGATTGCCCAAGTAGGGCAGAAAAGGGTTTAGGATAGGGTGCCTAAGACAGAGTGCCTAAGCTCAGGCCATGGTAGAGTTCATGGGGTTAGAGTGGAGAACTGCGGTGTGGGAAGCTGCAAGAGGTTCAGGGTTTAGGGTTTTCGGGTTTAGGTTTAGGGTTTAGGGTTTTGGGGTTTGGGGTTTGGGGTTAAGGGTGCATATGACGCTGATGCGCGCGACTGCGCGCGTACGCCGTTTGGTTCAGGTGATGGCAGGAGGCAAAGTCCCTAAAGCCTAAACCTTAAACCCTAAACCCTAAACCCTAAACTCGTTCGCTGCAGTGGAGTTGCGACTTTGTCCTAATTGCCTAGCTCCCAAGATGAACCTAGGAACTCAAAGGGGACCCTAAACCCTAACCCTAAACCCTAAAACCCTAAGACCCTATACCCGAAACAACAGGGAATAAGGGCCTACTCTCTGTGAGTTTTATAGGGGGCACCTGCCATTCAGGCGGGGTGCGGTCACTGTTTAGGGTTACGGGCTTAGGGTTTCGGGATTTTATGTCTCTCCCTTCCTCCTCTCCCCCTCCTGATTCTCACTCTGTCCTGAAGCCTGCTTCCGTTAAGCCGCAAACCCGCAATCCTACACCGTCTTGTTTCCTAAACCCTAAACCCCTCAACCCTAAACCCTAAACCCTCAACCCTAAACCCTACACCCTCAACTTAACCCTAACCCTAACCCTAAACCCTTTTGTTCCCAAGCCCAGCAATCCCACCCACGAAGTCCTGCATGCTCGAATATTCGGAGTGGCATCCCCTTCTCCTGGGCAGCGGAGCTGGGCAATGCGCCCCCTAGTTATAAGTAGAGTTATAAACCCTAAACCCTAAACCCTAAACCCTAAACCCTAAACCCTAAGCCCTACACCCTAAACCCTAAACCCTAAACCCGAAGTTGGGTTGCAAGGATGCTAACTCAGGCTATAAGTCCGAGAGCTGGGAAATGCGTCTAGGGTCCAAGAATTAAGGCTACAATGAGGGGCCCCCCTAGCTAGGGTTTAGGGTTTAGGGTTTAGGGCTTAGGGCTTAGGGTTTAGGGTTTAGGGTTTAGGGTTTGGGGTTTGGGGTTTGGGGTTTGGGGTTTGGGGTTTGGGGTTTGGGGTTTGGGGTTTGGGGTTTGGGGTTTAGGGTTTAGGGTTTAGGGTTTACAAGGAGGCCCCCCCCACCCCCCCCACCGTTTCTAAGTAGTGTTAGAAGGACCCTAAGTTGGGTTCTAAGGATCCGAACTTAGGTTCTAAGTGTATAGTTAGTAAGTGGGCCCCTCCTTGTAGGATGTAGGGATTACAAGGCTCGGGTTTAGGATTCAGAGTTTAGGGACGGCAAGGAATGAGGGTTCGATTCCCCAGGCCGCTCTTTCATGTTGCCAAGTTCTGCGAAAACCCTCAAAAACCCCTGAAGCCTTAAGCCCTCAACCCCGGAAACCCGAAAATCCAAACCCTAAACCCCAAACCCCTAAACTGACAAACCCCTATGCTCCCTAAACCCTAAACCCTAAACCCTAAACATTAAACCCTAAACCCTAAACCCTAAACCCTAAACCCTAAACCCCCAAGCTCTCGTCCAAGCTGCGCCCTTCGGAAGCGCGGGCGCTGAAGTGCAGCCAGGTCTGGGCATCACCTTGGAATCTCTCTCTCTCTCTCTCTCTCTCTCTCTCTCTCTCTCTCTCAAAAGCAGTTTAGGGTTTTGGGTTTAGGGGTTTAGGGGTTAAGGGTTTAGGGCTTTAGGCCTAAACCCTAAACCCTCCTTCGTAATGCCTTTTTGAGACTGTGCAACGGGAAGCAATGGGTCAGCGTCTGCAAAGCCACCTCGTAGCCTGGTCAAAAACTCCGTAAACCACTTCTGTGTCTTGAGCTTCCGAATGCCTGTCGAGCCTGCATACTGCCTTGTCCGAGTCCAGTGCAAATGGCTGCCTGGCTTTCTGATGCAAGGAGTGCACGCTTGCCGACTCTGCCAAAGCTGGGCGATGTCAGTGAGCGCATATTCTTCTGGAACAAATCGGGTTTAGGGCTTAGGGTTTAGGCTTTAGGGTTAGGGTCTGGGGTTCAACTCACTACATCTTGTCAAGGTCTGTCCGGATCTCTTGGCGAACATCGCGGTTTTGACCTTGGACTTGGGGGCACCGCCAACCTGCCTAAAGCCCCAAACCCCAAACCCTCAACCCTAAGCCCTAAGCCCTGACCCCTAGGTCCTTAAGCGTTCCAATCTATATGAAAAAAACCCTCTGTAAAGCCCATGTCTTCCCCTTCGCCACACATATGTAGATCCCCAACAGCCGTTCTAAACCCCTGTAAGCCACGATAAGCCCGGTGATCATGAAATCTCTTATGACCCCTGATATAGTATATATAGTATATATAGTAATATATATATAGTATATATAGTATACATAGTATATAAGTATATAATATATATATATAGTATATATAGTATTTGCAAACCCCGAAACCCTATGAACTCTAAACCCGAGCACCGGGATGATGCTTGAAGCCTCAGAAGCCTTGGGGTGGGGTCAGGGCTTTAAGGTTTAGGGTTTAGGGTTTAGGGTTTAGGGTCGGTTTAGGGCTTAGGGTCCAGGTTCCAGGCTTTGAAGTGGGAGGGCTTGTAAGGCTTAGGCATATACCTTGGCTGCCCTCAGGAGGGTAGGTAATAAAGTAAATGTTTAGCTGCTTTATTAGGAAACCCAATAAACCCAAAAAGGCTAAGGATCTAAACATACCTTAAACCTTAAACCCTAAACCCTAAACCCTAAACAAAGTTACAGTAAAGCACCACGAAGACCTACTTGATTTATAGGGTTTGGGGCTTCGAGTGTACGTCTATCGGGTTCATGGACTTGGGGCTTAGAGGGCCAAGCCCTGTAAGCCACCAAATGGAACACCCTGAACCCTAAACCCTAAACCCTAAACCTTAAACCCTAAACCCCAAACTACCCGAGGAGCATCGTCGTCGACGTCCTGGCCGATGCTTCGCTGGCTCTCCACTTTCGGCTGGTGGGGGGGGAGGGGGGATTGGGTTTTGGGGTTTAGGGTTAGGGTTCAGGGTTTAGGGTTTAGGGTTTAAGGTTAAGGGTTTGGGGTTCAGGGTTTAGGATTTAGGGTTTAGGGTTCCTTCCTCATGCACGCGCGCTGTCACAGTGCGCAGTTGTCTGTTCAGCGGCCTGCCATCTTCAGCATTGAAGCCGGCAAGCCAGCACTTGGTGAACAATGCCTGCAAACATCATTTCCAACATGCCAGCCCCAAGCACTAAGCCATTCAGAGTGGAACAAGGAACTCTCCACACTGAAGTTTAGGACCTGAAGCACTGGAGTCGCACGCCTTAACCCGTCACCCGAAGATTGATTCTTAAAGGCTCCAACCCAGACGTATGCTGAGATTTAGGCCCTTAATTAGCTCTCTGATAGGACCCATACTTATCCTGAAACTGAACAATTTCCCCTCCTACGCCCTTCGTCAATCCCCTGAGAGGACACATATCCTACCCATATACTGAACCGGAACCACGTCCCCTTCAATGAATGATGTAGATGGGGGATCATCATTGCGGTCGCTAGGTTTAGGAGGGAAGTTTAGGGTTTAGGGTTGAGGATTTTTAGGGCTAGCGAGTCAAAGGTGAGCCCAGAAGCTGGAACTGAACCCTAAACCCCGAACTCACTTCCATAACCCTGAACCCTCAACCCTAAACTGAATTACCTAAATCTGAACCCTAAACAGAATTCCCAAACCCTGAACTATAAACCCTACATTCAATTTTCCTAAACCCGAACCCTGAAACCCGGCACAGCGGTCCGAACGCACAATGCTGTAGACGCCTCGTGCGGCAGTGGGCCCCGAAACCCTGAACCCTGAGAGGTGGTGTAGGGTTGGGATTTAGGGTTGGTGGTTAGGGCACCTAAACCCTAAACCCTAAACCCTAAACCCCAAACCCTAAACCCTAAACCCTAAACCCTAAACCCTAAGGTAGGTATTTGGGGTTTTCGAGTGCAGGTTCAAGGAGAGCCTACACTGGAAGCCCTCTAAGCTCCTGAAGACTCCTGAGGTTAGGGTTTCGGGTTTAAGGCTTTGAGCCGGTGAAGGCAGGGCGTTAGGGGTTAGGGGTTAGGGGTTAGGGGTTAGGGGTTAGGGGTTAGGGGTTTAGGGTTTAGGGTTTAGGGTTTAGGGTTTAGGAGGAGTACTCCCTGAATCATAGCAGCTTCCTGGATGTAACTTAGGAAAGGTTCCTGACCCCCCTGAACCCTAAAACCTAAACCCTATCCACATTCTGCGGCCGGGTGTGTGTAGGTGTTGCTGAATACCTTGAACCTTACTTACAAGCTAGTTTACGATACTAGGGGGGCGTACCTCATTGGGGCCCTTATCATAAGGGGATCCTACTATTTGTGGGTCGAAATTGGGGGTCCTCTATTTTCGTAAACCACAAGTACCCAAGATTAGGGTCTGCGGCAGGTTTCAGGGCGGGCCAAGGGTCTGAGGATCTTGGGTCTAGGGTCAACAGGTATCCCAACATAGAACAGGGCTTTGGGGGTTAGTATAGTCTATTTATAAAGGGACCATAAGGGAAAACTATAAGTACTTATTCCAACCCCTATAAGGTGGTTTCGGATTCAGGATTCTGGGCCTGCAGTTTTGGGGGGATAGGGGTCCTCCGACCGCACGCAGTACTTTTAGGGTTTTCGGGGCGTAGGGGTTTGGAGTTTAGGGCTAATGGGGCTTAGGGCTATGTTTACCCTAAGGGTCCATGTACCTTTTTGGAACATACCTGGGCCCTAAAGCTACTATATAGGAACCCCTTTCAAGCCCAAGTATTTACTGTAGAGGTACATGGACCCTTAGGGCTAGGGCAACAAGAGTAAAAAACCCTAAACCCTAAACCCTAAACCCTAGACCCCAAACCCTAAACCCTAAACCCTAAACCCTAAACCCTTAAACCCTAAACCCTAAACCCCAAACCCCAAACCCTAAACCAAGCAGTGAACCAAAGCTCCGACCGCGCCTCGCGCACTGTCCAGGAGTCGGCCGGAGTTCGGTCTGGCGCTTCCCAGGTTAAACCAGCCTGCTGAGGCTTGGCAGTTAGCGGCTAGGGTTTAGGGTTTAGGGTTTAGGGTTTAGGGTTTAGGGTTTAGGGTTTAGGGTTTAGGGTTTGGGGTTTGGGGTTTGGGGTTTGGGGTTTGGGGTTTATAAGGTTTGGGGTTTAGGGTTTGGGGTTTGGGGTTTGGGGTTTGGGGTTTGGGGGTGTGGGGTGTGGGGTGCGGGGTTTGGAGTTTGGGGTTTAGGGTTTGGGGTTTGGGGTTTAGGGTTTGGGGTGTGGGGTTTGGGGTTTGGGGTTTGGGGTGTGGGGTTTGGGGTGTGGGGTTTGGGGTTTGGGGTTTGGGGTTTGCTGTTTGGGGTTTGCTGTCTGGGGTTTGGGGTTTGCTGTTTGGGGTTTGGGGTTGAGGGTTTAGGGTTTAGGGATTACAAGGAGGGCACCCCCAGTTCTAAGTAGAGTAATAAGGACCCTAAAGTGGGTTATAAGGATCCTAACTTAGGCTATAAGTCCCAAGGATAACTATAGTTATTAGTGAGTAAGGGGGCCCCTCCCTGTAGGGCTTCGCAATTTAGCGTTTAGGGCATGCAGCTAAGGGCTGAGGGCTTAGGTTTCAGGCTTGCGGTGAGAGGGCTTAGGGTTAAGGGTTTGAGGATCTCTCTCTGACCCCAAAAAAAGTTAGAGACCAAAAAAAAAGTTAAGTTCAACACCATGTTGAACCTAACTTTTCGGGTCGGAAATCCTACGTGTTTTGGCTGTTTTTCTACGTTGTTTTTGGGCTGTCGTGTGACGTGTTTCAGGCAAAAATGTGGGAAATAAGGGTAAAAAACCAAAAAAAAGGTCAAACGGAGTCGGTTTGTAGCCTTGCCGCCTGAAAAAACACGTAGAAAAACAGCCAAAACACGTAGGACTTCCGACCCGAAAAGTTAGGTTCAACATGGTGTTGAACTTAACTTTTTTTTTGGGCTCTAACTTTTTTTTGGGGTCAGAGCCACTCTATTTCGGGATCTAAGCCACCCACAACGCACTGCCATGGCCATCATTACCAAAGCCACCTTTGACACCCAGATTAAGCCCGAACAACCAACCGTCCCAACCCTTTCAGCTGCAAACCGCCAAACACAGCTGACACTTGGATTTCAGGGGGGGGGTCTATTTGTTTTTGGATCTTTCCGTTTTGTTAATCGGACGTGTTTTGCTTTTGACATCTCCTTTCGAAGGATTGACTGGAACGGGTCGAGGAGTCGGACTCGAAGAAGGCGGCGGAGGGGAAAATGTTAAGAGGTTCTCAATGCTGCGAGGCAGCCATATGGCTACAACTCGACAGTGAGAATTGAGGGTGCCTGGCGTCCCTGGAGCGACGTAACGGTCCTTCATTCCGCTCGAGAGTCCCAAAACATAATTGCATTGAAGTTCCAGAAAGCAGGAGAGCATGTTGGAGCGGTCCATGTTACGCTCGAAGTCTCGGAGACCAGCAAGTTCCGGCGCTACGCTTGCCAACACGAATGCCCGAGCGAAAAGGAACTCCGAGCCTGGCTACACAAAGGACCCAAAGCGGACGCAGCACTGCGACAGGCGCACCCGGCACTGAGGCAGTTGCTGGGACGCAAGAAGTGGAACGCGAAAGCAGAGGAGCGGCTCCACTATCCCAGCTTCCGAGAGCTGTGGAAAGCGGCCGGCCTCGGCCAGCCGCAGCGCACCAAGAGCTCCAAACGGGCCGACGACTGCACGCGCAACGAGGAACCCGGCAGATGCAGCTACACGGCTTCCTCATCTACTGCGCCAGGAGCAGCGAGCAGTTCAGCAGCGGACCGAACCGAGACGAAAGAAGACTGCTCCTGCTCTACCTCTTCCAGCTCGACGCGGTCTGGGACCTGATTTTGCTCACATATGGCCAAACACGCCATAGCGCCGGTTATGACCATTCAGAGAAGTCCACATACCACCATCGTTGACAATGCCTGAGGCACCAGGGACCATGCGCCCCTGACGCCATAAGACATCAAGGGTTGTAGCATGAAAGATAGTGACCAGCGTCCCTGGACGTTGCCATCCTTGAGGGCCCTTGTAATCTTGAGGACACCTCGTCCAAGCAGGGAAGCACACTGAGCAACGACATTGTGTGCGAGCTCTATCGATCAAGGGCGCTACGTCTCAGTACAGTGAGCTCAGGAAAGGCAACTGCAGGAATTTTTGAGACTGGCGCATAGCTCATCGCATGCACACCCCACATTATGCTGCTGCACGTGAACCTTACGCAAGCAACACTTTTCGCTGCGTCCGCACTCGAATGCTGATGTGGAAGGCGGGCCGCCCGTCAGTATGGGCCTGGCGTATCCATGCTGCTGCGTGCAAGCAATGTGCATCTCTGTATACAAGCTGCAATTCTGACAATCTTGCATGGTCATACCCAGGATGCCCACCTTTCCAAACGTCATGAAGTCGACGAGTCCTGAGCGCGCACAAACACATACACTTCCGCATGCAACTACACTTTCTGCCATGTCTACGTAACCTATGCCTACCAATGCCCGGCCTGCTTGACATTGCCGTGGTTATGTACCCAGGACGCCCACCTCTCCAAATGTCATGAAGCCGAGGAGTCCTGAGCACACACAAACACCTACACTTCCGCATGTAAGTACATATTCTGCCATGTCTATGCAACCTATGCCCACGCCTGCTTGTCATTGCCGTGGGTGTGCGTACCATAGGACCGCAGCAAATTGGTCAGCTTCCACTGAAACAGCATATTTTGCGCTTCGGTCTAGTACAAGGGAAGGTCGAGCCACCTGTCCAAACGCCGAGGCTCGGCTTCCCCGAGAAGCTCCGCTGCACAGCGACGTAGATTGTTGGCCAGCGCCTGGGCTTCTCCGTGCAAGCCCGGCCAGTGTTCAAGCGCATCGTTCAGCTTCATGGACATCACGGTGCAAGTGCCCAGCTGCATGCGGTCCAGCAAGACTTCCTGCAGCTTGACACCCCACGCATGGGCATAGTGTCCCGTGTCTCTCCGCTTCAGACAGCTCGCGGCGAAGTCGCCCAGCGCAAAACCGTTCAGGGTCGCCTCGGCGGCGAGATTGCGACAGTCCCAGGCTATGGCTGCCCGCGGTGCTACTACGCAGTGTAGCCAGTATTGACACGCATCTTCTGGACCTGCGAGCCGCACAGCCGTGCTCGCCCCCCAGAAGCTGAGCAGCAGCGATCAGCTTCTGGCGGTCCCCCCACTGGCTTCGCAATGTGGCGAAGCGCGGCATGCAGCCGCTGCCACTTCTCGCCCCAGCGTCGGCACTCCGGACACGGAGACGGCAACCAGTCCAACGGTCGTTGTGCCTGCTCTTCGGCCCATGGCACCGCAGACAGTCGCCACAAAACATGTTGACGACGATGTCTCCGAAGCCAAAACAGCCCCAACATCCATACATGACGCCAGAGCCGTTGTATTAGGGGTCGGAGTGCCAGCCCAACCAACAGTGCCAGGCCCAGACTGCGCCGCGCAACGGGTGAGGCCATGTCCTAAAAATCCTATCACCTACAACGAGCCACACTGTAAGCGCAAAGCAACGGTGGAACGCCACAACGAATCTCGGATGTTTGAGCCACCTGTAACATGACACATCTCTGACAAGTTCGCTGAATCTGACGCGTAAAAACACATGTACCGTGGCCCCAAGCAGACCTTCTATGCAGCATCCCTGTCTGTTTTCACTCAATGCAGCTCAAGGTCGGCCGACAGCGCCCGTGCGCGCATGCGAGTACCTCATTTTACCGATGAAGCTCAGACAATCCATGGCGACTGACGCTGAGTGTTACGCCTGGCCAAACCCAACTCGAGCTCTCCGATGTACGTGCCAAGACTGAGGGCGTACTCGTCCTCGCGCGTTAAGCTTTCGCACAGTGCAAGTTCTGAGATTTTTGGCAGCACTCTGCATGCCATGCCTGAACCCTAAGCTGCTCCATCAACGCAGCCAAGGTGGGGTAGAGGGCCAAGGCCGAGCCGTCCTGGAGATGCAGAGCACTGACACATCATCAAACCTTTGCGTGGGGCTGTGTGGTCCTCCGTGCGCCGCAAACCAATGTTCTGCGGCCACGCTCATAGCGATCATGCACGTATCCCCGGCATCAGGATCGAGTTCCACTTTCCTTTCCACAAAAGAGCCCAACGGGCGATACCCACCTGGGCGAGAGCGGAGTTGCCGGGTGCATTGCCAGCCTTACAAAGGCCACACTGCAGAAGAACACCCCGCCTGTGTGGCATTTGGTGACCAGCAAGGTCTTGCCTGTGATGAAACGTGTGCTCGCAACTGCCGCGAGCTATTTGCATACGCATTCCTGTGCCTGGTGGCGGGGCGTAAAACTCCACGTGCTCATAGTACTGTGAGTACAGCATGATCGCTGACCCTCGGCTCCTGAGTCTAATTGGCTAATCAGAGACTTGCTAGTGGAAAACGTCGTCTGAGGCTTGGGCTTCCAAGCGATGGAGCAAAAGGCTCGCGACTTGTACTCCTCATTGGCACAGTGACCTCCGCCCCCATGTGAGCCATCGCAAACCTTGCTGCACGGACAAGGCAGCAACGTGGCAAGCACTCTTCTGCATTACAGTGCCCGGCATTGCCGCGCGGGCTACCCCATAGCACGAGCGAGAAGTGGCCCATCGGCACCTGGGGCACCTCAGATCGGGACAGTACTGACAAAGGTCAGCATGGCGCGTGCAATCCGCCTTCCACATTGAGATGTCATAGCCATCGACGCCCTCAAAAGGCCGATCGTTCTCATCGAGGATGGCGCCCGCTGCTGCCAGTAAGAAGCAGTTCTTCGCCTCGCAGCAAACGTTCTGCATTACCAATCGCACTGAACATTTTCCCTCATCATTCTTTTGGCTCCGGGCATAGTTCTGATGCATGGGGCATGGCACCTCCTCATCCTGATGCGAGACGACTGATACACAGGCAACTAACCACACTGCAACACGAAGGGGAGCCTCGTCTGCACTCTCTGTTTCCTGGTGGGTCTTCTCTAGGAAGCCATGCACTAACACGACACAGAGCCAGCCTGAAGCCACCACTTCGGGACGGTTGCCGGCATCGCCCCAATGTCGCTGATGACAAGACGCTCCATGTTCCTGGTCAAGCCGAAGCCCCGAGGCCCCCGTGTGTACGTTACGCCTGTGACCGCATAGTACTAAGGCCGCAGCAGTACGGCTGTTCTCAGATCTTCAACAAACACAAGAATGTTCTGAGGCTTGACGGCTACGCAGAACGTGAAATTGGGATCTAGACTGTTGGGGTTTCCAGATTTCTTGCTTACGGTACTACTCTAAATCCCAAAGCTGGAGGTGTCGTACTGAAGTGCAAGGTCTGCAGAGATTGGCTAAGGAGAAAGAACTTCATTCCGCGAGTGACATGGCACGACACACTAGGCTCTGTTGATGCTAGCCAAGCACAAGTTTGCCTCAGACCTCACGCAATTGACCAACTAGCCCTCGGCCGTCGGCACCCTGAACAATTTTTGTGGGACGAATACCGTGCTTTGCAATCTCCCTCAGCCATTTTAAGTGCACGGTGCTCCTATATAATAAGGCAAACCCCTGCACTGCGAGGAGTTTTTTAATCGAAATCGGAAGCAAATCGTTCTTGAACTTGCCTGCTAAAAGTCTCTTACTTGAAGCCGAGCATGCTGGCCAGCTCCTCGGTCTGCAGCTAACATTCCAGTTCCTATCATTGCTTTGCGCTGCCATCGAGACTCAGCCTCCAGAAGCATGCCCACCGTGCACTGGCGGGTTGCTCTTGTCCAGCCGGGCGCCACCAACTCGATGCGCAGATATGATTGGGACAGGACAAATGCAAACTGTTTGCGTTGCATATAAGTCGCTGACATGTAGCATTTCTTCTGCCTCACTACCTCATAAAATTTCCAATCGTCACAGCAACAGCTGCCCATGATTCCTTTCACCAATCGTAGCTGCCATCGACACGATTGGTTTTGAAGAATGAGACCAGTGACATACATCCACTTCCACGGAGGCTCTAGGTTGGAATTAGCCGAGCACCGAAGCATGGATGTCGTACGTAAGGCTCCGGCTGGTGAAGAGCAAGAAGTCATTGCCTGGCAAGTGCCATTCAGAGATAACTGATTGTAACAAAATCCACTTACTGATAACAATAGTATGCATGCCAGTGTCAAGATTCTTTTTGCGCTCCGCACCTTTCTCACGAAAACACATGGCTATGTCATGAAGCCAGAATCATGGCCAGGTCAAACAGATGTCTGTCGCTATTTTTATCGGGATGGCCTCGTAGCATCAACTTTTTTCGCATGCCAATCCCAGCGATTTGAGTTGTGCCAAAGACATGGCATTTCTGCCTTTTGACGAGAATCTGAGCTCCACATTGCTTCTGAAGCAGAAGTTTATCTTCTTTCCAAGCTGCAATCGGCAACATCTGTCCATTAATCATTTGGCCATGGAGCGAGCACAAGCTGTGGACCAAAGCCCACGCGCCTGTGCCTGAGGGGCCGAGCAGTGCTACTGGAAACCACCCACAAGCAGCATCGGCCGATAGCACCTTGGCATAAACATATTCTGGAAAGATGTTGCGCGTGTGGCCTGGATAGGTTTCTGACAAGATTTCGATGTTCGTGTCGCGTCCTGCAGACAGATATCCCGTTTCCCACGCACTTCCATCGGGATTGTGCTCAAGACCAGCATATGCCCAGGCCGTCTTGATGAAACTGCCGAAGTACCCACATGATGACAGTAAGTCCGTGAAGGCTCCAGCCCTACCCTATACGCCCTAAACCCCCTACCTGGACGACCCCACCCCTCTCCACCCCGACAATGAAAACAAAGCATGACAGGCCCTATTTGGTTGGAGGGCTGGAAGCAGAACCCGAAACCCTAAACCGTTGGAAC